GAGAGATGATAGATTAGGGTCTAAATTGAAAACATACAAAGTTTGGTTCAGATCAGATCTGGGAATATCGAATTATAGGACAGTAAAGTTGGAAAAATTTTGTGCACGTTCTCATGGGAATGTCTCCCTAACGACCCATTAGCGGTAATAATAATTTCTACTAGTAGGTAGTTGCTAGCTGACATTTAAGAGTAAACTTTGTGTAGTTAGTCAAGATACATCTGTTCAGTGTCTCCTTTTCTCATCTTGATTTAAAACAAATAAGAGATGTTTATTTACAGTATACAGTTTGCCATGTGACATTTGTTGGGTGAGGAATAAGCGTGTACATGCACTTCACTGGAAAAGTAAGGCCTTGGATCACCAACTGGCTCAAATGTCAAAACAAACCTGATTTAGAACTATGACTAAATTCTGGTGGTGCTGTTGCAAGCCTTGAGTTTCCGGTCCAAGGTTTGGTTTTTCTATGTGCTTCCTGTTGCCTATATGTACCATGGGTACATATACATTGACATGTGGGATGACTGCAACCCAACCCACTTACGGAGTCAGTCAACATCATGGCTGAACACCACATCTACATGGACTTGATAGTGTGGGTGTAAGAGGATATAAGCTGGCCACCGGTCATACTTTTGAACCAGCCTATAGCCTTGGCTGTAATTTAAAAATAGCAAAGGTTTTGCATTTGCTTTAAAAGACAGGCTCTGGGCAGTGTGCGTGGATGTTTAGAATTACCTTGTTTTCCATGGATAGACTGGCAGCGTTATATAACACAGGTGCATTTGGAAGGATTCCCATTTTGCTTGACTGATTACCTTGGTGTTCTTCAGGAATAGTTAGTTTACTGCAACCTTGAATTTTGTGTGTGTCTGGTGCATCCAGTTAAATTGGTGCAAAGTTGCCCAGTCTAGGCGTGAACATGAATCGATTTTTGTTTGACGTGCAGCGGTAGCATGCATGCATATTGACCACACTACTGGTACAAAGATGCCCTGCTTGATGTATCTGCATTACACACTGCCTCATTCCTATTGTTGTCTGTCATGATTACTGCAGGATAAAGACTCTAAGGTATAGACTCTTTGGGCCTGTTTGTTTCACATGGATCTGGATCACGATCAGTGATCCTTACACTGGTTCACACCATCCATTAGGTGGGTTTTGGTGTCCGTAGACCAACAACAGACCAGTGATCGTGATCCAGATCCATGTGAAAAAAACACGGCCTTCATATTACATTTTGGATGTCAGTTTTTTCTCCACAGTTAAGATGAGCGTACCGAAATCCGGGAATTTCTCCAATGCTCAACAAATGAGCAACATTTCTTATAGGTTGTGGGCTGTGGGAGTTCTTTCATCTTCATTTCATTGATTTCTTTTCAGCCAGTTATAGCCGTCAGAAATGGCAAAGGCTCCACGTCAAATAACATATTCAGTTCTGAAGGACTTTTGCTAAAAGTTGTCTCGGCATTTATCTTTCTGTCTGGATGTAGAGTTCCGACCCACTTGAGAACAACGATGAGTCTTTTGTTCTGATGGCGGTCTTCCATGCAGTGGAGGACGGAAACCTCCCGGGTATCAAGGAGCTGGTGGAGAATCTCACAACTTACGACCCCGATCAGAAGAACAAGGTTTGTCTAGAAACATTGCACTCGTAGAATATTACCATCTGCGTATATCACCACTTTTACTTGGTGTACCCGTAGCTGTTTCTGGTTTTGCGTTTTTGCAGACCATGCACCTGTTTATTTGAGAGTGGACACAAGGTCCTACTCAGCCTAAGACACATCTCGCGTTATGTTAAACGTTGTAAGTTATTGGCGCGAAATGGAGGAGATTTATACCGTCTGTAGTAGTATGCCATTATGAGAAAGACGACTGTATATGAATAAGACCATACAGACTTTGTCGATCTCGGCAAGAAATGGGACAAGATGTTGTTAGGCAAGGGAAAACCTGAATAAGCCTGTTCAAACGGATTAAAGTTTATACGAAACAACTCACCGCGGTCAGTCAAAGGCTGAGTAGGACCTTATGTCCACTCTCAAATAAACTGATGGACCTGTGGCTGGTTCTGGGTTTTTGCAGGCCACGCACCTTAACATGTTTTTTGGTTATTGTTTTCATGTCACAAACATGTTTGTGTTTAGGGATCGCAAAAAACATACCCAGTACAAGGTAGGTTGATTTAGAGGAAATGGACTGAAAGTAAATGTAACCTGAGGGTACATACATGTACCCTTGGGGGGCATGTGGCCTAGTGGTTAGAGTTTGTAGCTTCTGATCATAGGGTCAAGGGTTCGAATCCAGCTGGTGGCAGCATGTTTTGATCCTGGGCAAGTCACTCCTACATGTATGTGCCTCTCTCCACCCAGGAGTAAATGGGTACCTGTGAGGGGAGACATGGTTATGTTTAGCCGTTTACGCAGAAATGGCAGCACTGGGCTAGTATACTCCCCCGGGGGCTGGAATGATTTCAGGAACGTTCATATGATGTGTGAGCCCAATGTGCAGGGATAATAATGGCGCTTTGAAACGTTGTGGAAAGCACATTACAAATCTTGCAATTATCATGAATATGAATATGCATGTATTGTAGGCCCTGTTGCACACTTTGAATTATTCAAGTCACTCCATCCTCATCGGCACCAAAGGGAATATAATACTACATGTGCACTGCATTTAAGAACCATTTTCATTCAAACGTGATCAGAAATTCCACCGGCACACAAACAGTTTTCTGCAGATTACAGCTCTGGAGACAACGTGAGAAGAATACCTTTCAGTGGGGAATTTGTTTTTCTCTTCCATGTTTCTTGTAGCATGGGGAAACTGCATTGCACATGGCTTCAGGACAAGGCCACTTGGACATTGTTGATTACCTTCTAACCAAAGGAGCTAAGATTGATATCAAAGATAAGGTGAGAATTCTGAAGTGTTTCAGTCCTTTCTTCCTCTCAGCTGCTGCTTGTCTTTAACCACTAGTGTTAGAACTACTTCACACTGCTACCGTTTTTACATTTAGATTGCAGACAAACAGGTAGAGAATGCAAAAAATATTCATTGTTATCCTCCAGGGAGAACTTTTTTGTTGAAAACGATCCTCAAACATATCTGTGGCATCCCTTGGTAGTTCTTAAGTGAAACAGTGTTGGGTCCTGGTGTGCAGAAATATGTGTGTCACCAATACCTTTAGTTTAATCTTTGTTGGGATCGTACAATTGCTGGTTGACTTTGCAAAACAATATTGGCATTCTACCAAGAATCCAATATTATCAGGATCTCCAAGTTTGAGTTTTTGCTTTTGCTCAATTAGCTTGTCAGGATACTTTATAGCTTTGGCAATTGCGCAGAACAGAGAAATGGCACCTGCTTACGTACTGGTATCCAATCATTTATTAAACCCTACCTGGCAACTGACCGGGTTAAACATTGACTGTTAAATAAGTTTTTAATGGAGCATAGAGTTTTCTCAGCCCATTCCTGAGAGTTAACCCTTTTGTTTGTTTTCAGGTTGAACGTACATGTATGTAGTGCTTGCACTTTCACAAATGAATAAAGTCCCTTCCCTATCTACCACCTGCCTTGTGCAGTTGACACATCACACCCCTCAGCTCTACTGGAACATTTATCCCAAGTTCAATATTTCATCCATGCAAAAGCCAATTTGCATAAAGCATGATGTGTTGATGCACCTGAAAGCTTTTCACTGTTACACCTTCATGTACAGTTTTGTCTTGGCATTGAAGTAGACATTATTTCATAAAATGTACAAGATCTCTCCCCACACGGCAGACGCCGCGCCAACATACCTCCATCAATATTCATGGCTTTTCATTACAGTGTCTCCATTCTCATTTGGCGGTGTGTTAGATTGAATTGTACTTTAGTGCATGATCCCACTAGGGGGAATGAATCAGCCAATCTCATGGCAGATGTAGCGAGAGGTTGTCTGGAACTCAAGACATTTAACACAGTTCAGACTGGTGCCCTTGACATCAGACATTTTGTCAATGAAAACATAGCAGTATCTTTTTTATTTGTCAGACATGAACATAAAGAAAAAGAATTACCAACAAAATAAATGTAAATGTGAAATAAATTTACAGGGTCCATAGACATCTACTACACCTGGTTTTAATCCAATTTGTTTTTCCTTGTATTTGAATGTCCTCCACACTTCATTAAAATTCAAAAGTTACTTAAGTAGTTACACGTATAATTGTGTTAAAGATGCTCGCTCTGTGACAGAATGGCAGTGTTTGGGGGCTGTAAACCTATGTGTTCCTGAAAACAGTGATCACAAGTTACCCAGTGCATATTCATCATTGTCAGGAAAGATAGCCAGGGATGAACACTTGAACACTCCCCCCTTGGTGTTGATATTATCCGATTTGCATTCAAACATTCTTACCTTCGGGCACTCTCAGAAGAAAGCTGCCGCCAGATTAAGACCCGAGCTATGCATGCACGCTCCCCAGATTCCAATTTGTAACGGAATTCAATTGGCTGTAATTTCTCCTCCCCTACCTTCCTTGCTGTTCCTGTTTTTGCCTCTGGTGCTCACCACCCCTCCTCCCCTCCCCCCCCCCCCAACAGCTGTACATCTTGTGCCAGGGGCACTCCTGTGTAATTTCTTCAAGCCAGATCTGGCTGGTAAATGTTTGACCGATGCAAACACTGACCCTAGGTACATATTTGAGGAGTAATTCCAGCCAGGCGGTCTGGTTTCTTCTAATTATCCTTGGTGCTTGCTTTCTATCCTTTGCGCGAGACAGAGCATAACCAATCTGGGGATAGTTATTCTCTGAATGTATTTAAGTACGTATGCCTGAATTGTTTTTTTACAAGGAATTACAGCGCATGTACATCTCTCCTCTTGGTTTTGTAATATATACATGTAGGTGTTCTGCAGACGAAGCTTCTCGGAATATTTTTTTACGAGGGATTTCAGTGGGCTTTGACATTTTTGTGTGAAATTTCATGCGTACAGGACAAGTTTACACACGTGTCACATCAGCGGCTCATCTGAAGTTGAAGAAAATCCTGCAATCTGGCTATTGCAATGGCTGTTACTATCTAATCCTCACATCCCTCTACTTACATGTACGTTTATTTTTGGGGTAAATTCTTTGGGAGGTGGGTGGTTCAGTGTTTGTGAAATTCCCTACTCTACGTTAAAGGTCATCACTTGCTGATGCCGAAGTCATCAATCCGAAAAAGTATCTTAAAGGTCAAGAGACACTCATCCAGTCGCCACCAGAATACAGTGAAGTATTCCTCCCAGCTGGTTGTCTTGTATAATTTGAATCTCTCTTTGTACTCGCAGCACGGGGACAATGCAATATACTGGGCAGCGAGGCAGGGCCAAGTTGCTGTCATTGAATATTTAAAGGACCAAGGCTGTCCGCTCAATGAACAAAATAAGGTGAGTAGTCTGTACTTGCTAATGGCTCAGTGTCGGAGGCATGTACTTTGTGACAGAATACTTCTTTAGATGAAATATTGCCAAGAAATAGAAAGTGCAGAGGTACAACCAGAGGCATGTGTGTGACCCGTGCAGAGCCTTGGACGGAAGTGATTAAAGTTTTGGTAACTGTGTTTATGACCGTGCATACAAATAAGGACAAATATGGGTAAGAATTGGAGAGCTACATATGTTCCAGTATGAAATGTGTATTATTAATGAAGCAAGTACAAATACATGGACAGTATATGGGTCAAAGCACGAGCTTGGGTTACTCATCTAAGCATGAATGAAAGCACACTTACATAGTGGACATTTACGGTAGTGGGATTGTAGTCAAGTGTATCTTAATTGATAGCCTTGAGTGCGAATTTCATGACTGACATGGCTATGGCTATGACATGTTTATGGCTATGCTGACTCTGCATCCAAAACGTATTTTAAGTACAAATACACAGATGAGCCTTTTGGCCCAGGAAAGTGGATTCTGATGCATCAAAGTATGAATAGTCACACATTTTGTACAGATATTGCCCTGGGATTGAGCCACGTTTCATTTTGATTAAGATTTCTACACACGGGGAAAGTGCTCAAATAAGAATGTGTATAAGTTGTGAGTACTGCGGTGCTACGCTGTTGGATTTCAACTCTGTGTGATCATAAGTTACTTCTGTGTATACATATATGTTAATTTTGTGCATGTGTGTACTTTTGATCACAAAATACACCTGTCCATGTTTGCTGCTGAGTGAGGTACATGTAGACACAGTCTCATTGAGAGATATTCCTTCCATCTTAGGACAGGTGCAACGATTTTGCCAGCTGTAGCCGAAATTAGTTTCCATGAATTCTGAACAGCTAACAAGCATTGATGAAGCGGTTTACATGTAGAAGTAATTGAACTGTAAATATTGCATTTTGTTTTGTTTTACTGCTATGTCTCTGTACATCATTACATCCATGGCAGTGGTGACTTTTACGATTTAGCTTCATTTGGATCAAGTCTGCCCAACAGAGAAAAACAAACTCATGTATGGTTTTACACTAAGTGTGAAACTGAATTGTAGTGAGGTTTAACTGTGTCACCGAATTTTGGTTACAGATATTTTGTAGCTGTTTTTGATTTGAGATCTTGAATGGTTTTGTCTAGGCTGACAGATGAAAAAATAAGTCTTGCGCTGGCTGCAGTTGCTAATAAGATAAACTGAACCACTCTAAGTTAATCTAACTTAATGCAATCACTGTCTCCGTCTACACACCTCAACTTTACCTCTTCAGATCAAGGAGACGCCTCTCCATGTGGCCTCTCGTTACGGCCAGGTGGAGGCGGCCCAGCACCTGTGCAGTCTGGGCATCAACGTAGACCTCCAGGATGAGGACGGGGAGACTCCACTGCACATCTCGGCCTGGCACGGCTACACCAGCATTGTACAGAAACTCTGCCACATCATGCAGACCTAGACCTCAGAAATAAGGTGGGCAAATTTTCAACTATTGGTGGGAATAAATGTCGTCCAATCCCAGGAAAGATGAACATGACCGCCTGTCCTCTCTCAACTCAGTTGCTGTCACTGGTGCCCATGATCCTTGATGAACCAATTGTCTATTGTACCCAACATTTTGGAAGGAAATTTATTCAACAAAAGAACGATTTGGATGGAAAAATAACACACACAACAGGGTCCACAGAACTGGTCTCTATAGCGGTCATTTGATGTAGTGATTTTACATCACAGATGCCTCAGGCCCCTGACCATTTTCAACATGTGACAACCTGCTTCTTGAATTTGACTGCCTACAGTTTTGTAGCCAGCACTGCCACTTAACACGTAAAAGTTCAAGACAAAGAAAAATAACAGGGAATATGTGCACTTAATATTAGGAATAGTCTAGGAAAATTAGGTAAGTGCTGCAACCGGTACTCATTAGCAGAAGAAGATGTTCAGTGTTTCAAATGGAGCTTTCATAAATTCCATCAGTTGTATTTTTGAGTCACAGGTACATTGTATTGTTTGGGGGGTTTTTTTTGGTATCATTAGTCCAGATGCCCCTTATGTTGTGGATCAGCTTTTAGCTTTGCATGAGGCACTGAATTTGCAGGGACATATCTACTCACCCCAAAGGCATTACAGTAATTGTCAACTGAACAATCATTTTCCTATCTCAGTTTGAGCCTCCCTCATACCAGTATGTGTACATTTTCCGCCCACAGGACGGTGAGACGCCACTCCTTTGTGCCTCAGCTCGGGGTCACCTGGAGATTGTATCAATCCTGGTCAAGGCTGGAGCCAAGCTGAACAACACCGACAAGCAGGGACTGACGGCACTACACCACGCCGTCAGGAGACACCATTACAGCATTGTCAGGTTCCTGTGCGAGAGCAATTGTAATGTCAACATGCAAGACAAGGTGTGCACCAGTTTATTTATTGTTCGTCTGTCTTGTGAATGTGTTCAAGTATTTCCAGTTCACTTCTGTTAGCAGAAAATTATGGAAAGTTTGGAAATCTCGCCAAATAAAATCCATGGTGAGAAATTTGCAAATTCCTCTAAGAAACTAAAACTTTTAGGGAAATGCATGTATCAAGGTCAGAACAACTTCAGATTTCACTTTTTTTTCAGCTGGGTGACACACCTCTACACATAGCAAGCAAAGATGGATCCCTTCACATCCTGGAGTTACTGCATTGCGCTGGTAGCCGTGTAGACACATTGAATAAGGTAAAAGTTCTTGTGAGTAGCCCAGCCCCATCACCACCATCGGGGGTTGAGGGGAAGGGGGCACAGTATCAGCAAGGGAGGTGCATCACAAGAGCAGTGGATAATGTTGATGCTGATGGGGGGAGGGCAAGGGCCCAGAGGAGCCTGAAGTCTGCAACTTCCAGACCTGAAGTGCTTTGTTTGTTTTTTTCTGTACCATTGGCATTGTGGAGTTGTCTACTGAGTATGCTTACAGCTTTGAGCCATTTTCTCTCATACTTGAGAGACCCTGAAGACTGTTGACTCTATATAGACTCAGAGAACATGAGACACTTTGAGTGTGAGATTGATTAATAAGTATTATTTATTTTTTTTGGTTTACATCTTGAAACAGAGTGAAATGTCACCACTTCAAGTAGCTGCCAGGAATGGCCATATAGAAATAGTCAGGTACCTGTGCCTTTCTGGATGCAAGCTGGAGCACAGGAACAAGGTACCTAACGACAGCCGTGTTTTGGTTCAACATCAACCACGAGTTAAATATGTACAGTTTGACTAATTTAGAAATTAGTTCTCCCTTCAATTCGCCCAATCAAATAATCCTCTGACAGTCAGTAGTTGCAAGATTAGAGGTTAAGGGTTTGTCTCTGGGCTTCTTGATTTTGAGATGATTTTCAGCTGGAATCACAATCACCAGTCTTGCATCATTGATCATATAGGTCACTGATTTCAGGGGGGGAGGGTATCAAGTGGGATCAAACCTTAGACCAATGCACTTATTTTTCTGAATGTTGCCCTTTGCAGGATGGTTTGACGGCTTCACAGATTGCATCTCTGGAGGGACATGAGGATGTGGTACTTCTGTTCAAGCAGGTGCAAGGGGTAAGTTGCTCCAAAAACAGCAGTGAAAGTGAGATGATGAGAAAGACCGCAAAGTTGTATTTGATTTGGTTAGCCTCAGGTTTACTGGTTGACACACACACTTCAGCTTTACATTGTAAAGTAGGTGTCTAACCAACTAAAACGTCTTCACCATAATTGCCAAATTTTCTTTCACAGTAAGGGTAATTCCGAGGATGTATAACTCATTACCCGTCTATGACAAAAATCATTCCTTAAGTTAGGAAACATGATACTGTTAGGTACCTATCACTTAAAACTCAAGAGGTTGGGAATAAATAAGGAATAGAGTGGGCATTTTCACTCATTACACAAACGTCATAATGTCCAGTTCTTTTGGGGGCTCGGTTATGATGATAAATTTTCCCTTTTAATTTACTTGAATCAGCCTTTGCATGTACAGGGTTTCTACATTGTATCTCTCCATCTTTTTGTATTTCAAAGGAAAAGATGAGAGAGGTGTACGTCCACCAACTAAGTGCAAACTCAGGACCTCTCTCTCGGATCCGCTTGAAAATCTTTGGGCACCAGGGAGTGGGCAAGAGCACCCTCATCGACTCCCTGAAGTGCGGCTACCTCCGCGGCCTCTTCCGTCGCTCCAAGTCCAACTTGTCCCTCATCGGTCGCTCGGCCACCAAGAAATACATCACCAGTAAAGAGAGCTTGACAGGGAGGTCCAGCTCCACCAGCAGTTCTGAGCAGGACTACAGTGGCACCAAGGGAATAGAGATGTCACAGGTCAACGTACCAGGTAGGAAATGTAGGGATGTGGGCTTTCTTGTAGGTTGCAATTAATTTTTACAGGAGGGCTGTTCTCTGTCCTAACTGAAGCCTCACTCTTCCCTCACTCCATCTGTTATTGAAAGGTTTTCTGATGTTATAATGATGGTCAGCATTTGAAAAACTTGTCTGGGAGTTTTTCTGAGAATGGCCACCAAGTACCTTGGTAAAAAGGCATTAGTTTTTCTTATTTCCCGAAATGTACACTAGCCTATACTGAAAAAACTACTTGCCTGAAGTCACATCAGCGAGGTTTGTAGTCCAACTGTGCAATGCTTCTCAAATGAAGGAATGTCTTCAGGATTCATGTTATTTTAGGGGTAAATTTTCCTATGTGTCAAGGTGCGGGGGAGTTTTCAGTTATGGAGTTCTCTGGCTACGAGTCATACCACACAAGTTACTGCCACTTCATGGACGACGACGGCGCCGTTAATCTCATCGTCTTCAGGCTGGATGACTCATTTGAGGATCAGCTATCTCAGGTCACCTACTGGATGAACTATCTCAAGTCCAGGTTACCGGTGTCAGAACCAATCGGTGAGTGCACAGTTACATCCGTGGCGCAAGTTAGGAAGAGAGAGAGGGGCGATGCAGGGTTTAGATCCTTTGTGGAGGCTTGCTGTGTTTCCTCCAGACTGCGAGATTGTGAACCCAAACTCTGACAAGGTCTTTATCAGTTTTGTGTCCTGCTTTGTTTGTGATCTTTACGCACACCGCTGCAAGTATCCCTCAGTAGTAGAAATGAAAAATGGTGGAGAGTGGAGTACCATGTCTGCTCTACAGAAGAAACCCATACAAAGGAATTACCAATTTGTTTTCATTCTGATGAAAATTTTGTAGCCTTGAAGAAGCCTGTTGGCATATAGGGGACACATTAGGAGGGCACTGATTGGTTTGGCTAAACTCTTGCATTTTGTCAAGTTTTATGTCAGAAAGTGGCCCCTCTGTTGTGTCCACTATGTTTCAAAAAGGGTTGTACTATGCAACATATGCAAAAAACTTGGGTATATGCATCGTGTGGGCGGTTGTTACGTCATGTTTCTTTTTCGGAATTCTTTTAGAGTGGTCAAAACTCTGTAATATCTGTTAGTTTAGTCACAAATACAGATTTTGATAGAAAAAGGGAGTCTCTTTACATTTTCCATGTGTCAATCAAATTCCTCATGTGTACGATTTGGCATTTTTTTAGGTCACTGTGGCAAGTACAGCCAACAGATGAAGGTTGCCCTGGTGGCGACGCATGCAGACTTCCGCACCTGCCCCAAGCTGCCCTCGGGAGAGCTCATCAGCGGGGAAGGAAACATCGTCCTCTATCAGATCAAGAAGAACTTTGGCCGTCTCTTTGATATCTGTGAGATGTTGTTCGTGGTCGATGCCAACAACTCCCAGTCCAGGGACATGAAGCTCCTGCGGACGCACTTGTCTAACCTGAGGAATTCTGTCGTCAAGGTGATACAGCTTTGTCTTCGAAAGCTTTCCTCCCTTAGTATACATTCATAAGAACATTGTTTCTTTGAAAGAATATTCAAGATCCACAAGAAGGATGCATAGTTGGAGACTGTGTACACATTTTTCTCTGCCACCTGTATATTCCAGCAGTTCTATTTTTATACAATTGGTAACCATCATTGGTCTATCAATTTTTAAGAGTATTACTGTGTTTTTGCCTTTGTCTGTGGCATGTTTTTCATTTGGTACATTGTATAAAATTCCAGTGAGTTCACAGGGCTGTAGTCAAATCCACTCACAAGACCAGTCACGAGTGACGGGATGAACAATGATAAATTCACAATACGGGCAATTCACAACAGTGCGCCTCTATGAGTTTGCAACGCGTTGGCCAATCACAAAGCGCAAAATTTGTCGACCCTTTCCAAACGCGCATTGGGTCGACGAAATTCAGGTGTCGTGATTGGCCAACACGTTGTAAACTCTTGGAAACGGACTATTGTGAATCTTTCACATTCATTTGAGTAGCTCATGATGTTGTGAGTTGTGATGGACTGGACTACAGAAATAAAGTTACACTTTAGGTTCACAATTTCTACCAGAAAGCATTTGACTGTAACACACCAGCACTGTCTTATTATAGCAGAGATATCTGAAAAAGTAAAAGTAAAGCACTTTGCAGAATATGTCCACAAGTATCCCATTTTTTTGGTGCAGCGCAGAGACGTGGCTACTCATTCAAACCGTTGGAATTAGTTTGTGAGCTTTTGATTAAGATTAGATCCATTTCGTCTTGTCTGTCAGCACGAACCTCCTCTGACAGTCCTGTGTGAGGCAGTTCTGTCCATCCTACCGGTGTGGCGCAAGAGCGACAAATGCCAGTCTTTCCCTGTCCTAACGTGGCCACAGTTTCAGGAGATGGTACATACAAACATCAACCCACTGGCCAGCGAGCTGCACCTCAAGGACGTGATCAGACAGTTGCATTACATGGGGGAGGTGAGGCGACTTCAGACTTGTAACATGGCAAGATTGTAGACCAGAGGTTGGCAAAAATATGATTTGACAAAGAACGGAATCTTAAACGGAAAATTTTGTTCCACTGTTCCTAATTTTAGCTATACTTTACTCTTTATTAACCACTTGCTGCCAGGTGGAGTTTGAAGTTGCATGACGTGAAACCGGGAGATTTTCCAGATTTTCATTTTTCAAAATTCTTCAAAATGTCATAGCTTCATTTACTGGATGTTTACATCCACACGAATAACTGTGTGGTGACTACTCTAATCTGATAGACAACATCTGTTGATGCCCGAGTATTTCAACCAGGTCTGCCGCCTTGTAAAAAGAGCCCAAATTGTGTGGTGTTATGTAACTTTCTTTTGTTCCCGAAACTGGCACAGTTTGCTACTGGCGTCTTTTCAGTGGGGGCCAGATTAGTGTGCAGTGGTATGTATCGCTCATCGCTGGAGCGTTTTTGTCCTCAGTTGTAATCTGCTCGTGCTGATTGCCACAAACAGTGGTATAATCTCTCAAAATGATGATGGATTTCCTCCGCTATTGACAACTGATAAAATGTTGGCAATTCCCAGCAGCTCTATCTTTAGTTCCGAGAACGATCTTTTGTTACAAGGCCCAGCTCTTTTGTCCGGTTTCGGGCTCCCCAGTTTCATGTATAAATCCTATGTGCCCAAAACTGGACTCCCCAGCAGCATATGGTTAAGGGGACAAACGTGCTTGGCCGATCTTAACGTGCGTTTAAGACCGGCTCAGGAGAGTGAATGCCACAAATGCCCCAGCTGCAGGCGAGGCTATTATCTGCCTTCAGTCTCCTGAGCCGGTCCTAAACATTAGTTTAAGACCCGCCAAGCACATACATATATTTATTTCCATTCATAAATACCTTTTTCAGTCAGTGTGTCAAAAAAAATCAATAAATGATGGATTTCTGACGATTTTGTTCTATAATTTTACTGTCATTTTGCCGAACACCCCATCCATTTTATGGCATACATGTATTCCTTGTACAAGTTGCCCAAAAGAATCTGCTTATATGGACTTGGCATGCGCGTGGCAAGCCGCGTGAACACAGATTCTTGACCAATCTTGTATCCAGGTACCAGCGCATGATTTACGCAGCAGGCATTATCACTTCTCAGCAGGCATTATCAAATGTTAATACACAGTCAAGTTGCAAGTTGTTGAATAGGGAAACTGTCTGGGGTATTTATGAATGGTTGTTAAATACCTGGTACCTCTTTGGGGTGGTAGGCAATTTAGGGATTCAAGCAGGTGATTTTCTTTGTAGGTGCATATTAACCCTCCCTTCAGCTAAGACAGGTTAATGTTGCAGTTTATGGAATATAAAATGATGGATTGACAGCTATTTTATTTCTCTTTTTCAACAGGTCCAGTGCTTCATGAGTGAGCTTCTTCAAGAGATCATCTTAATAGAACCTCGGTGGCTCTGCTCCAACGTGATCGGCCAGCTTCTGTCCCCAGACATGACCGATCAGCCGTACGGTCAGTACAGCGTCCATTACATCCAATCAGTCTTCCCAGAAACAGACTCAGTGGATGTCGTCCAGCTCCTGGAGGCCATGGACATCTGCACCCAGGGCACGGTCTGCGAGTTCCCCTCGCTCATCAAAAGCAACGCACCGCTTGGAATCTGGGAGAAGGAAGACGAGAACGGCAACTTGAACGTATACGGAGGGGTGCGCCTGCAGATAGTAGACTGCACGAGTGTCTTGCCCATCGGGTTATTCGCCCGTCTGCAGTTGTCATTGAGAAGGAACTTTCAACAAGACGTTGAGGATTTGGACACAGACTTAGTGCTGTGGAAGGACGGAGCCAAGTGTGTGAGTGGTAGCATGGAAGCCTTACTAATACTGACCAATGAGGGCCAGAGCATTGAGATCAGGGTACGTGGCATCAATGATACCAGACAGGGCTGTTTTGTATTCATGGAGGACCTCATCCATCTCGTTAGAAACGTTGTTGAGGAGTCGTACCCGGGGTTGCTTCTCAACCAAGATGTGTTGAGCCCCACCCAGCTTCGCAACCACGACCGGTTCGTCATGACGTACGAGCCCAAGCACATTTTTGAGGTGCAGATGAACAGAGACCGGGCAGTCCGTAACGAGATCACTGAGGAGGAGGAGACGTTCACGGACATCTTCTGCTTTGGCAGTGAATCCATTGAGGCTAACACCATCCCAGGGATCAACCTACATGTCGGGGATCTCCCTGAGCTGACCCGGAGGCAACTGAGCATGCTCCTCGACCCCCCTGACCCCATGGGAAAAGACTGGTGTCTCATGGCACTGTCACTGGGCATGATTGACCGCGTCCCCAGCCTGGACCCCATGAACAACCGATGCGGCCCCGAAGAGTCGGACAGCCCCACAGAGAGGACACTGCAGGAGTGGGGCAGTGACCCCGGCAGCACCATTGGTACCTTGGTGGTCAAGCTGAGGGCCCTCGGCCGGGATGACGCAGCCAGGGTTATCCTGAACAGCATGCCAATGTACAAGTTTCTGCCAGACCCACGAGCCATCGAGGAGAACCAGATGAGAATCAATGGGACGCCTAACAACTCGTCTAGTACAGTAGCATCACGATAAAGAAGCTAAGATGGCTGGACAAAATACGCAAAGACAACTACTCACTCAAAGGGAATCAGTTAGGGATTTTTAAATAAACAGGGAAACACAGTGTTCAAAAATCTCTCTCCATGTAGGAAGTGGTTGGTTTCAAGTAACATTTTATATCTTATGTCAGTCAACTTAGTCGAGTTGACTGACATTAAGTGATTTGTAGCATACGTTGTTACAAACATCCATTTAAACATGCCAGCTCTGTAAAGATGGTCTCAACTCTGGAGGAGATATGTGAATTTTGCTAGTGTGTTGATACAACATTGTTTTCAGTCTCATTGGCCATTTGAAGGGCTCCCTCAAGTGGCTTCTAGTGGTCAACCTGCTTATCTGGAGCTCTTGAATGTTGTCATTCCTGCATTGCTGAGACATACATCATGTACATCATTCTTAAGGCTGCAGTGGATCAACTGGAGCTCCAAAACCATAGCTGCGAGGAGAGAGTGTGCATCCAAGTCAGTTTCTTGTGCAACTAAGCAAAGTTTCGAACTAAGTGACTGTTTATAATGTTTTTTGGTGACTAATTTTTATGCTGGTCAATTGGTATGCTTTACAGCTCATTTGATAAGGGCGATTCACAAGAGTGCGCCTCCAAGAGTTTACTTTGTAGTGCGTTGACCAATCACAATGCGCGAAATCTGTCAACACAATGTGCGGTTGGAAAAGATGGACAGATTTCGCTCATTGTCAACGCGTTGCAAACTCTTGGAGGCGCACTTTTGTGAAACGCCCGTATTGGCACAGTTAGTTTGATTTTCAAGGTGCTTCACAACAACTGTTTCCTCAACCTTAACAATACTAAATTGTCAAAGTGACCATTACGCATCAGTTTCTCTGCTGTACATACACCATTACCCCTCAGATGTCTTTCTGAGTGTGGACTCTTTTACATATTTTTAATTGTTTCACTGTCAAGGTGTCAAAATTGTAAACACAACTACTGTTGTTTTGATGCATTACTTTTTTGAGTGATCTCTGTAGTATAGCATTCTTGATTACAATATTCAAAAGGTTCTTGATTTCTATTGACAACGTTGAGAGAAGCCAGTACAAAGGGTTCTTTTCCTCTTTTTTTAAACAGCAAATTCATTTTTATCACGAGGTCTTCCATTTTGATATTTCAACACGCCATGCATGTATACTGTAGCCACAATGTCAGAATAACATACTTGACGGTTGCATGCACTCTTCCTAAGAATGTGTAGAATTAATTAACTTAAACAATGACTAAATTAGAAGGATGGAGCGTTCTTGTTTGATAATTGTATAGTAAATGGGGAACGGTTGAAAAATTAACGAATTGTAAAAAAAGGCCAATAACCAGCTGTCAGGTGTGTGTAACTGGCATTGAAACAGAGAGATTGTAAATTATTTTATTTTTTTATGATGCTTTTTTTTTTAAAGAACAACGGTCAGTGGTGAACACTGGTCTGCTACAACGACAGCAGAGTCAATGTTGGGTCTGTTCAGTAATTGTAATAATTTAACTTAATATTTTAAAAACTGGTTCTACAGCAGTCGTTGAGCTTGATCTGTGTACGAGGCTGTCAAGTTCTGAAATTGTGGTCATATGTGGCTACATGTCGACAGGTTGGATGTTTTTGTTTGGTACTGTTTCTCTTTGTATCATAACCTGTGGTCTGGGTCATTAGCTTCAAGATTCATGAGGCACTGAGTCACATTATCAGGACTGGCACCATTCTTTTGAAGCCTTCATGTATATGACTGAAATATAAGAAACACTTGCAAGACAAGATTCAAGGGGCAGGTAGGAATCTTTGACTTGACTGACTGTTGGAAAATTATAACGTCATGAAGAATGAGTCCCAAACACTGATGTTCCTTTGTTCCCATGGCTATGCCCTTACACGTAGTGACTTTTTGGTACAGGTTAAACTTTACACATAGAGTGCAATCTGCTGATGAGAATTTTAAGTTACAGTTTTTGTTTGTATATTTAGAAGGTTGCAGTGTCTCATGGGTTAGATACCTGTGAAATCATTTCAGCGTTATACATGTCCAAGTCCAGTGTTTTGCCTTTTGTTCACATACAGGTATTAAACCTTTTACGACCTTCAGTCCTCCAACCAGAGTTGAAGGTTTCCGATATTATTTAAATATTTGAGAAAAAAAAATTGGTGTCCTGTAACACATTGGATTGTGGCTTATTCAAGGGGCTTCCTTGCTAATAGAAAGCGAAGTAAAAGGCCATATTGAGTAGTTTCTCTTCTCAGTCACGTTCCTTTTTTCCCTTCTTCTCCCCCCCTCCTTTCGCCAAAATTCAGTGTGCCTGTATTTTGAACATTTCTTTCCATCAATATACACATGTAGCTGTAAATGGGATTTTGAAACCTATGAGATGCCAGACAGCTCCTTCAAGACACACAAATATATCGGTGAATGGGTCCAGAAAATCCCACAGCCATTTTGGAGAGACGCTGTATGGTAAGAATAGAAGTGGCTGCTCCTCCATTTTGTTCCCCAGAAATTCGGACAAGGAAATTTCTTGTTTTGCTTGGCCTTATCAAGGATATCTGCATCATCTTGTATTAAATTGTCGTGTATCTGTTATAAAATCCATTCGCATTTTGGGATGGAAGTTCTTAGATCTTAAACTAATTCCTTCATTTTCTTGCATGGAAATACTCAGGGAGATTGTTGTGTTACTGTCCATTTGTAAGAATTTTGGAATAAGCCGTTTGCAAGTTAAATTTGAATAAAATCTGGTACATCGAGTTATCTTATTGCACATAAATATAAAAACTTGAATTCCCCAGACTAAAGACACTGTTGCTATACTTTGTGATTCGGGGCAAGCTTTTGCATTGTGACAACCATCTCTGGAATGGACTGGTTCCTTTGTGCCCTTCTTATCCATTGAGAACAGTGTATTGGTGCAAGGTGTCTCTTATGTGACTAAGCAAAAGTTTGCCCCGAATCACGAGGTGTAAAAGAACTCAGTTAATCAGATTTTATTCAAATGTAACTCACAAAAGGCTCGTTGGATTTGCATCCCGGAGAGAATCCTCAGCTGAAATTGGTTGAATTGAGCTACTCAACATAGCTACACTGTAGGTCTGCAATCAAGACAAACACATTGTTTTGTTTCAGGTTGCTTTCATATCTAGAACATTCTGATGGGGTACGTTGACTCTTTTCTGCTTCTCCTTCCTCCCCCCACCCCCACCGGTTTGGATTATGTAGCTATTTCTTAGACAAATGTACAGGTATCTAACCTGTCAATCAAACAAACACATGAGGGTTCACACTGCAGTTCCGTCGAACTGCAGAATCTTCTACATAGTATTGCACAGTGAGATGGTTGCTGTCGAAAAAAATTCATTTGTTGTACAATTCCACCACACTATGTGAAATCATATTTGAACTGTGCAAAGTGTTCTCCATTTGGTTCTCAGTTATCAATTTAAGATAGTGTACAAACTGCTTTTACAAACGTCCATGAAAATCAACATGTTTAAAATCAAGGGCACAGCCGTCTGCATCTTTTTACTGTTGCATTCCTGCAATGTACTTCCACAAGGAAAAATGCCCTCCTGTGGCAAATTCTGTAAATTCAATCTCTAATAAAATCAATTTGTGTTTTTTTTTTCCAGGATTTGACTTGCCTTCATGTATCACAGCTTGAACTGACTTAAGAAAAAACCTAGTCTATTGTTGAAAATATGCACTTACAGCAGATTTGATGTGCATGTTAATTGCACATTGCACCTCGTAATATTTTGATGCCAACAAACCTCATGTCATGTGCCTTGAAAATTGCAGCCTTTTTCCACTTTTGTTGAGAGGGGGAATTTTGTATTATTTTGGTTTTCGTTATTAAAGGTATTTCTTTCCCAAATGCCTGTTTGTGTAGTTCCTCATTGCCAAAAGCACTCATATTTTGTTTAGAACTCCAAGTACGCACCTTGTAGCAAGGAGTTAGTACAATTTGTATTTTAATTATGGAAGAGCTTAGTCTACATCATTCAAAAACATAGCCTCTGGTACACAGTTCATGTTGGCTTCTTTCACTGAAAACAAAAAAACAAGTTGTTTTTCTGCACAGTTATTCTACAGCCACCTCAACACAGCAAAGTTGATTCAAAGATCCTGATGAAATCTCTCTAGTAAACCATCAGTATTGCCAACACATCTCGTCCTAAAGCTGTCTAGATTGGTCCAATAAAAACACACATAAAAGTGATTCAAAAAAGGCTACTGTACTGGGGATGTACACGGCATTCTTTCAAACTTTCTTACTGACAGAGACCATTCCAAGGTCAAGAGAAGCAGCCAAAATGTATTCCACAAAAATGCAGATCAGATTATTGCTCCGAAACTTACGTTTCTAATTGTTGGTAGTTCACGTGCATGCCTGGTCAAATTTGTACAACCAAGTGATCTCACTTTCAGAATCAGTGGAATCAGTCATTGGAAAATCAGAATATGCCATCTTCTCAGCCATCATTTCTACGCACATACAAGTCTGCTATGTCCATTGAGAATGCCTGATATTTTTTTTTATAACAGTGGGAAAGTTGCTGCTGTATTCATTGGTCATAACTCACATTTGCCAGATAATGCAAATTGGCTCTCTGACAAACTATGCATGTCGGCAAGTAACTAGCACAGTGTAAGAATCTACATTTTGTGATGCCAGATGTCTGCACATCAACTAATTACCCAAAGCATATCAAAAGAAAGATTTCTAGTGGTGGTACAAATTTTTACTTGCTTATTTGAACGTCAAAGGTAATGGTATACAATGTAACATACATGTAGTAGCATGCCCCGTACATATTCATTGCCGTATTATTCTTCCAAAGCAAATGTACTGTACATGATTTATGTACAAACTTGATCAGACCATAAGGTATACATGATAAGGTATTCTAACTTAGAGCGCTTGATTCTATTCAAGGAAATAAAACTGCCTTGAGAGCATTACAAATGACAACCTGTCTATCAGTTACTGTTGTTTGGTTTGGTGTCTTTTGTTACAAGTTCGGTACATTTTGTTCTGTATGTCACAAAGTGATGTAAAATAGCCAATGGAAACTTTCATGCAAAATATATCAAGTGTTCACAAAAGTGCTTGGTTGGCAGTCATTAGTAACACTAATGTTTTACAAAATGTAAAAAACAATTGACGACACTGCATGCATTTAGTCATGGACGTAAATCCTGGGGGAATGGGGGGGTACATGTACATCCCTCAACTTTTTGAGGGAGGGGGATGGGCCATTGAATCACCCCCCCACACACACACACCCTTACATATGTATACTTGTGGGGTATTTCCTTCGTTCTCGTGTACAAAACACCTACACAACACAGGAAAAATTTCAAATCGCTGCCATTTCAACTAAATTCAGTTTCCTGGGTTGAAATTTCGACCGTATGTCCCTTAAAACACTTCAATTTGCGACGGATGAATGGCATTTGGAAATTCCTCCTTTTTGAGTAAATTTGAAACATCTTTTTCGTGAAATTCTTGTGGGGTACCCAAGAATCAAAACTAGCTTTGTGGGGTACCTTCCATTGTTCCGGTACCCGACAAGGCACCACATACGAGCGCACCAATTTTTGCAGTGAGCAAAATTTTAAGGGGATTGTGAAAATCTTTTTAGACTTAAAACAACTAAAATGCATTCAATATTACAGTTTTGAAAAGCCATAATGCCATCCGCCCCACCCCGCTTTTCAAATTTTCATGGCTGGGCAAGTCACCCCCCCCCCCAATTTGCACCACTGCACTTAGTGCACATACAGTGACATTGTGCAGATGCAGGTATAAATTAATTTTGTAACTAGGACTCATATGTATATAATAGTGGCTTCTGTGCTCATATAGTTCTCTGTAAGTCATGACCAACAGAGAGAAATTTAAGTATGATACAGTAACATCCACAACCACAAGGGCAAAAGATTTATATAAAAAAAGATACCTTGCTGATGAATTCATACCTCTCCGGTTGCACCATCCAACTTTTGTTAACCAGGACATGGCTCAGAACAAGTTCCTTCTGGTCCTGAGGCAAACTTCATGCATGTATCTTGCCTGCCAGAACACGAAATGGTAAAATGTACTTGGATACTGCCAAGAAGTTGAAAGAATGAAGTTTCAATGGTTTTTAGGTTGTTACTCGCTAAGGGAAATGAGAAGAACAGTGCTATATAATTTCAGTTTGACAGCTGTTGCTTTCTTACAGTAGATTGATACTCATTCCTTTCAAACACATAATGAGGACGTTGCACAAGACCGAGTCTGGTTCTTCAATAGAAATATGTTAATGCTGAATGTCTAAGTTCACCGGTGATACTACTTTAACCCTAACCCTCCTCAATCCTCCAACAGGTGAAGGATTGAGGAGGGTTAGGGTTAATGATCACTGAACTGGTTAGAGAGGTCAGCCAAAATTTTACCCACTGGTATGACTGAAATTGTCATTTTCAACCTGAGTGACCCCACTGATGTGAAAATTAAACTTTTTTTTCCCCGTGAACCAAAAATTGAGACAAAATGAATATCCAAATAAGATCTGGTAGTAGTACATGTAGATGTATCTATGTGGGTCACGTATGTACATTGTGCCAAAATACGCAGATGTGTGCCAGTGAAATAAATGGCACACTGGGTACAAGTTCCAGATGCATGTCCACCGTGCTGAACAATACTTTCCAAGGCTGTCTCCTGTGCTGGCAATAGTGCATCCTGCATTGACTTAGTCTCCATTCAAGCATCAATTTAATTCTTTATCATGAAAATTGAAAAATTATGGTGTCATGCCAGTATTTACATCAATGTTTGGAAACTGGACTCACGTGGAGATCAGCTGGTGGGTGTGTTCATGAGTGGTAGCTAGGTGCACAATTTGTTGTGGTCTCAACAGAGGGTGAGACCCAAGACTTTGACAAGACCGAGAACAAGAACGAGACCAGCACTTTTGACTGAGACCAACCCTCCCGAGACCGAGACTTTAATAGGATGAGACCGAGACCGCAAAAAAGGTCTGGAGGCAGTCTCAAAAATGAGACCAGGTCTCGAGACCTACAACACTGAACCCCTGCATTCTTTTACCCAGCATTTTTGAAAATACAATTACAAAAGCTGAATATGTTGTAAGTCATCATTCTGTTTAGTGACAGCTTTTTTGTCATTGTGATTCACATTTCCAGATGGAGTATACAAGAACCACTTTGTGTGGCAGACAATTTATTTTAACATCACCTATGTCTGTCCATGTTTCCTTCTCTGTGCAACTAGAAATGTAAAACAAAACACAAAATAAGCCTGTGTTCCTTTACCCAGCACTTAAAATACAGTAACAGGTGAATATGAAGTCCAAAATCATTACGAGCCATTTGGTGTAAAAAGTAATATATTTTTAGAATTTTAAAATATTGAGCAGATAATCTGAATGGGTTCCTTATTTAAAGGGCATGCCGAGGAATTGTCCTTTAAGTGCACAGCACAGTCTACAGGGTATACACATCAACATTTGAACTCAGCATTGCAGAGGATAGTTATGCGTGTTATGGAAATCTATTCAGAGACCGTGCAACACATGGACAGAGTATAAGAACCAGAACTGCAAACTGATAAAATCATTAATTTGTAATGACATTGCAAAATTTAGAGTTTGTTGATGTTTCTTCTTGAATGTTTTGAGTGAGGAATAGTCCTTAGGCCTACATGCCATGATTGATAATTCAGAAGTCTCTTCAGTCAACAACCACGACAAGAAGAACACGTATTCCTAATGTCTCTTCGTGTGCTACGCGCACCGAGCCTCGAACAGTCTCTTCACATTTTTTGCAATAAATTTCATTTCTAGTGCATGCAATATTTTTGTCGATAAATTTCAGATACTTTGGCTTTACAGCTGAGAAAAACATCTTCCTAAAATGAAATTGCTGTAAAACTGAGTCCCAGTCCTTGGACTTAAGTCTGGAGTCATCCAGTACATGTCTTACTTTTAAGACACTTTTCAATATATGGGCGGCGTGAGGCTAGTTACTTATTCCTTGTTTGACGTTCGACATTCAATGTTGAACAAGCAACTCTTTGATATTCAACGCTGAATAAGTAAACGTTTGACATTCAGGATGCACACCTCCAAAGTGATGGAGTGCAAAAGGTCTAAAAACAAACTGTACCAACTACAATTCAGGGCTTGTTTGAGCTTCAAAGAAAAAAAACCCATGTGCCAGGTTGCAAGGAGTCGACGATGATTTTGGAGAATGACTCCAGATTCAATGTAATTCCAGGCAGGGCATGGAGTTTGGGTATTTTATTTCAATTTGAGAGAAGTGTGGTGTAATTTTCAAATTCCCACTCTGGTTTGCAAGCTAAGAACTCAACCGACAAGACAAGTTGAAGTGTATAGAAGCACTTTGAAAAAAGAACTTTAAAGCCTGGGCGTAGGATTGATGTGTATCTTTTCGATTGACCGAAATAGGTTTGATGAAACATCATGTATATAAAACTAACCTTTATTTTTCTTCTAATAATTACACTGCAATAAAAAAGCGGTCGCTAACATTTCTGGGCTTGTTCGCAGTGGCGTAAGTAGGGCGATTATGTCTGCGGGGCACCCAGGAGGGTAACTGGGGAGCACACATTTTTTTCAAGGGGGTGCCAAAAGACAATAAGCTGCAGCCGAGGTTGTTCGTGGATTTCAAATGGGGGGGACACCCGGGGGCACAGTTATGCCAATACTTGTATGAACCCAAAAAACCTGTTGCCCTTGGTTCCCTCTATAGGAGAGAATTGTTTGTGTATTCATCATTGTGAAGTGGCACATACAATGTAAATGGGTACATGTGATGTGCATGGTGGCAGAGTGGTTTTTCCCCCCTTTTGCACACCATCGCTTTTAGGGGTGTACATCCTGAATGCCAAACGGTTACTTATTCGATGATGGAATATCAAATGGTTACTTGTTCAATATTAAACAAATATTGTCGAAATCGAACAAGGAACTAACCACATCGGTTTCTATATGTATATGTATGTTCTCAGCTGTCAAAGTAAGAATTTTACAGGAAGAGTTCTATATATGGATGCCTGTAATTCTTCCTTACAGTAATTTAGTAGCCATCAGAAAGCCAAAAAAGTTCAAATTAGGAGGAAAAATACCAAATCATTTGCTGGCAAAACACAGATTTTTTTTTCTCATAGGGTTTGTGCACAGGGTGTCAAGTGGCGTTTGTATATGGAATTCTTTCCAATTTAAAGTTAAATTTTCTTTCCAAGTCCTCCACAAAATGACTCCACAACCCTTCGACTGAGTAAAGACTTGTCTGGTACCACAGAGTAAACTAGAACCAGAGCACACAAAAACCTAAGCAGCAATCAACTGGTAGCCTAAATGTATTTTCACATCTAACTTTTTTTACAGACGAGCACCATTCTGACGGTGATGACGTAAGAACGTGGTCATGATGTGCCACCTACTTCTTGAATGTTTATACCTTAAAAATGAGATTCTGAGCTTTCCTATAGTGACTACTTTGTTTTCTTCGGGGGATTAGGATCCTACAATAGCCTAATGCCTGAATCCCCGCTTTCTGTTTGAGAAAAATTCCCACGTAATTCTCGCACAGTAGCTGGAAATTTGTTGCAATAAGACTGGGTTTCATTACGTGTTTTATAGTTACATTAATATTAGGCATGTACCACTTCTCATTTAATTTGCGGTTTATAACTGATCAAAATCCACTCAAAAACAGCAAACTTACTTTAGATGTTCAGACGGTGTCGGAAAAGGCTCCATAGCTCCTCGATGCCTGCGAAATTAGGAGTACGCCTCACAACACCACGTGTTAATTTCATTTGTTTTGCCATTCATTGGTTCCCGTCCACCCATTCTACCTTGATTTTGAACCCATGGCAGCGGAAACCAGTCATCATTGCGCAGTTGCAATTCCGTCGTACGCTGTCTGAATATCAAACAAAAAAATTTACATGAGGTGACGAGCCGATCATTTGGGGAGTACCCATTTCATTTAATTTGCTCCAATTTTCGGGATGTACATTACACAATATATAATGATGTGAAAGATGCAAGAAGACAGAGAATGTTTCATTTATCACAGAGACACAGATATAAAAATAACTGAAAAATATTCAATCCATCTGGATTACCCAAAAGAAGTTTCATTCAAGAGAGCTCTCCAAGAAACGTCAAGAAAAATTTTAGGGAAAATCGGCTCAAGTCAAGTATAACCTACTTGACTCTTGCCAATTTGCCCATAATATTTGGAAATGAAGGCCAGATGTGTGTGTATCACGTTACTTTGCTTCCTTAACATCACTGCAGTGACCCATCAAGATATATATGCATTATTGTGTTGCCTCCATTGTATTAATTGCAGCTCTCTCTATATTGTTTTATATACTCTTTTATTATTTTACGGCATGACGCGACAGCACGACGCAACTTACACGTGGAACACTATATGTCATACAGTAAGGTCGGTTGTCAACGAACGAATGTGGTAACAGAAATTGAAAACATTTAGTTTCTGGGAGCGCGGACGGTCAAAAGAGGAATTTTTTTGGGCGGGGAAACGCAGGATTTTTTTGTTCATTTTGGGGTCATAATTAATGGGTGAACATCAAATTTACGATGTTTTTGAAGTGGTTATATATTTAGTGTTATTTTGAAATACTTCACATGCACTAAATGCTTTCAATTTCTGTTACACTTTAAAAAGGAATCAAATTATAGTCTATTTTATTGTTTGCAGTGGAGCCGTGGGCACGGGGTTGTTGTTCGAGTGAACCAGAACTTAAGGCCCGCTTCAAACGTCGAACTTCTACTGTGTCTAAATTCATTTAATTGCAATTGACATAAAAGCGACAGAAGTCCGGCGGTGACATCGATTTTCTGTTGAACGAAATGTGATCCTTGAGGACAGCGTAACAGGAGAGGAGACATGTTATAATAGTGCGATATTTTCTTTCTGCGATAAATTTTATTGCAGGTGATGTTAAAAAGCGGGTTTTGTTTATCTGTCCATTACTCCTGCTGCTCTTCCTTTAAAGCAAAAATTTCATAACCCCCAACTGATCTTGTCGGATCAACATCATTTGGCCAATCATGCAGGTTGGCTATGAATATTAGGGGGCCTATGCTGATTACGACGTCAGATAAATGATTCAGTAGTGCGGGCTTCAAGAGCAACCTTGGAAAGTTTCACTTTTTCCACATTAGACACGATTTAGAGTGAAACGCGGTTACAGAAATCCCCATATCTCTAAGGTATAGATTGGGGATATGTTTCTAAAGATTGTCTGAAGAGATTATGATTGATATGCTGTTACAGAAAACGACTATGTTGTTAATGACGTTTGTTTGAAAAAGTTTGTGAATCCATCGTTAGAATCGTTTAGGGCACAGTCGGTCAGCAAAAAGGGTTTCCAAAACCGAAGTTATAAATGTTAGAAACTTTGGTAGTTTTTTCATCTGTCCGTCCATCATTTCCAGACAGAAGGTCCTCATCACTCAGTGGTATGCCCATGAGAGCCACCATTTGGTTTAACGCCGAAAAGGTGAATAATTGCAGCTGGTGCATGCGCATTTTCAAATGGTACCACTACGATTCTGATTTGGGACCTGCCAATTAAATTAGACATGGCAGAAATTTGGCGTTTGAAGCGGCACCCGTCGCAATGAAAGTCATTCAATGGTCACATGATTATACAGCACTTGTTCTTTCTTTGATTATCAGGCTGATCGCTCATCTACATGATATTGTGGTACTCCCCGCACTTGCAGTCGTCTCTTCCATGCATCTCGTTCAGTCGTTCTCCTGGTTTGAGAGCAATACAGCCATCCCGCCTTCTGAGAGCGGCAGACGACAAACCCGACAGTTCTGGGGGTACCTGCCTCCCTGCTGACGACACGCCTCGCGGGCGTCGACATGTCCTAGAGGTTTCCGGGTGTTGCGGTAACAAAACCCACCCAATTTCTTTCAAGGGACAGACAGCGCAAAGCCCACAAGCTCAATCACATGATGCAGGTGGAACTGCCAACAATACTCAAATACCATTTCTTTGAAAAGACATTGTAGACTCCGTCCAATTTGGTATACATTCCAAGCATTTATTAACTTTCTCAGTGCCTGGCTAAGGCAGGAGGCATGTAACACGCAGTTGTTGCTATCGTAGTTGGATCACCGGATCGCAACTAATTTGTTTAACTTGAAAAAGCCACTGAAACATATAGCCACGACAACAGCCCACACAATCATCTGCACTTAATGGAACTCTCCAACTGTAACCAGTGATTACGAACCACTTGCTAAATGGGAGAAGCATAGTGGTGTACAGATCCTATCACTCGAGATACATCACATTTACAACACAGTTCAAACAGAAAGACAATAGAAGTTAAAACTTCGTGTTGAATGGGTATGTTTTAACAGCAAATAAATAATTACGCATGTCTTAAAAAAATGATTAAAAAATGTAGTTGATCACTTATTTTATTTTATCTTTCAATTTGTAAACACCACACGATAAGGTAAATCATGGTACTGATGAAGTTAGCGTGATAAGCTGTGGTGAAGTGATAAAGTAGTGTCAAGTTGCACAGTTGTTTCAAAATGCCCATTTGCAGAAATGCAAAATTATTCGAGCGCCCTTCAATGGAACATATTAAATATGATTCACAGATGGACCTTTGCCTAGATTGTCTCCTATTTACGTTTGTTTTAAAGTTTGTTACTTCGACCAGTAATCAATTTACTTCAATCCCGATTGTGCTCACTTGTCATGTACATAGTTCAATACGTTTCAATTAAACTATTGTACTTTGACTTAGTTTTGTTATAATAAAAAGGAAACCAGTCCCGATTTTAAACTAGGTTTGTATGGAGGTTCAACAAGGGCGGCTTGAAGATGTCTGCATCAGTCCTGTGGTTATACAGATGCTGTTGAGTGGAGGAAAAGATTCCCAAGATTCCCCTAGCTGAACGCGTGGAAACAATCACATTTTGTATAGCCTCAATTGTAGGGCCTTGGCGGTAGTGAATCCTCCAAGCGTAAGTACTGAGCGTGGGCTGACCACAAGGGTCGAAAAGTGGGTTTTTGCTTATCCAGTGTCTTAGGCGTCATCCAAGTTACGTTTTATAGGCATGAATCAGCTTCCAGTTGACCTTCACTGTTCGCAGTGAAGCAGTGGATACGAGGTTGCTGTTTGCAAACAGCCAGCAGCTTGTTGTCGCATCCATAGTCATTCCACTTCTTGTAGAATAACCATATGGTTGCACAATGCTCATTCATGCCATAATTGTCAGGCTGACCGATCATCCAGTTGGTGTAATTCCATCTATGGGACCCCTCGCACTCCCACTCACCTTCTTGAGTGCGATCGCTACACGCCACCCAAATACTGATGCCAGGGACCATGCTTGCCATGAAGTCGTTCTCCTGGTCCGAGCGCGGCACTGACATCTTGGCTCCCAGCTCACGACAGGCCTGATGGGCGTTGCCATACGAGAGAGGCTGTTTGGTGAGGAGGTAGCAAGATCTACCCCATTTCTTCCAGGGAGCTATGCAAAGCCCATGGTGTCGATCGCATAATTGAAAGGAGCATAAAACACTGCTTGCAAATGCCAGAAAGATCAAAACGAAACAGGGCGACATCTTTTTCAAATGACGCGAGTCTTCCCTCTTGCTATTCCCAAATTTCCCAACAAATATCCCAGTCGCACGCGATTTGTGCCTCCAACGTTATAAATAAAAAACACTTTCAATTCAGCAATTACACACCAGTGAAGATTATGGAGATAATTAGATAAGCCAATTATGCTATTATGGCACAGTTACCATGCCAACTGAAAGCTTGTGCTCCTTAAAAGGTACTTAATATTTCATAATACGCAAACAACAAGTAACCACATGCCATTATATAAAAATCTTCGCAAAGAAAAGATCAACTTCCTTTCGATGAGGGAATAGAATGTACGTTTAAGACTATCTTTGGAGAATGGACATGACAAATGAACGAAGCAGCAGGCGAGGGCATTATCAGCGTGAATGAACATATTCATTCCTCTTCATAAATACCTTTTTTTCTAGTCAGAAGTCAAAAGAGGTCAATATATGATAGATTTCTGACGATGTTGTTCGAAAATTTTACTTCCATTTCCCGAACACCCCTGTCCATTTTATGGTATATATTTGTGCGAGTTGTCCAGAAGAATCTCTATATATGGACTTGGTGCGCGCGTGGCGCGTTCTGCATGTTTCGTCGCACGCAGATTCTTGACTGAATAGGGATGGATTAAACTCTCTCGTATCCAGATGCCTGATTGCTTTTTTTTTTACGTAGCGGGCATTATCAAATGTTAATAAACGGTGGCTTTGCGTGTTGCTGAGTAGTGAAACTGTCTGAGGTATTTATGAAGGATCCTTTACAGCACACCCCCGAGAAATCACGAACACACATCTAAAGCTTGAATTGAATTAGACTAATTGCCTACTGCAAAATTGAATGTTTCACATCTTGCACGATAAAACCAATTTCGTATCACAGTAAATATAAAAACTAAGTAGGTTAATTGTGTGATTCAGAGAAAAAATAAAATCCAATATTTGCACTTCTTGTCTGATATGTTAACACATTCTGAATTTTGTAGTTGACAGAAAGAGACTCAACCTTGTTGAAGTCGTTCTCCGAGCGTGGCACTGCCATCTTGGCTCCCAGCTCACGACAGGCCTGACGGGCGTTGCCATACGAGAGAGGCTGTTTGGTGAGGAGGTAGCAAGATCTACCTCATTTCTTCCAAGGAGCTATGCAAAGCCCATGGTGTCAATTGCATGATTACAAGGAGCATAAAACACTGCTTGGAAATGAGAAAGATGGAAACGAAACAGGGCGACATCTTTGGAAAAAATTGTGATTTGAATTCTTCATGTCTAGTTATCCAACATTCTAAAAAAAACTCTGGTTGCAATTTATGTGGCTTGCACTGTAGATATTGATACCAGAGAAAACATATTCAACTCAGCAATTGCTTCCAAGGTAACAAGGCACGTGCCCCCCTCCCCTTGCTACGCCACTGCTGGCGTCAAGCTGAGACATCTTAATAACGGTTTTATGTCAATTATTTACTTGTTTTACGTTGCTTCCTTATTTAGTTTGCACTATGTTTCAATTCACTTTTTCATCTATAATATTTTTACGAGTTCATTACAAATTATTAAAGTTGCGAACGTGATGACTCCTTACGGCCTCAGGTGATACGTAGGAAATTGAAACTAATGCGAGCAGAAGGTGCATGAAGACGGTGACAATGGTTGCTATCAGGGACACGGTGATGGCTTCCGACATAATGCAGGTACAGTTTTGAATGCGGGAACAAAACCCAAGCCATTTCTTTCAAGGGGCAGTAGTGCAGAGTCCGCGCCCTTGATTGCACGATGCAGAACAGTTAAAGATCCCGCTCAGAACTGCCAACTGTACGTAGATGCCAAATATTTGAAAAGACATTTTGTTATCTGTCAATGTAGGCACAAATTCAAAGCATTTGAGATCAGTGCAACTGTCTCCGTGTGGCACCATGCAGGCAGGAGGCCAGTGTAACACCAACAATTGCAGTACACGTACTTGCCATCGCAGTCAGATCCATATCTCAATGAAGCAAATACGATATGAAACAGCTAGTGAAACGTTTAACTATCTATGATAACAACCAGTGGCATAGCCAGGCTCTTCTCAGAGGATGGAAGGGGAAGGAGGGGGCAAGAGTTCCCTTGGGAGGCCAACCCCCCTCGTGGCTACGCCATTTAGTTTGCAAAACAGACGGCTCTTTCAAGAACTTTGTTAAACAGGTCTACAAAGGTAAAGCACATCGACACACAGCATATGGCGTCGTGACAGCTTTCCCCACCTCCCCAAGTCAAATTTTCCAGACAGGGGGAGGCGAGGGGGAACAGTGGCTACGCCACTGACAACAACATACACAATCTTTTGAACACGGTGGAATCGTCTAACTGTGAATTATTTGTTCTATTTAGCACACGGAGTTTTTTCTGGTTATGTAAGAAGCATATTGGCATATGGTGTGAAACTAGTGACACAGAATATCCAGTGCGTGTAGTTAAAACTATGCATGAAGTTGGTTTTTTGCTGAAGTCATTAAGGAATCAGGCATGCCATAAAACACTGCCAATCATGGCTGGATGATCTGTTGACGTACCAGGATGCGGTTGAATCATGGCAGTGTGTCTCCTGTACATCAGCGTAATGGCAGCACTCTATAAAGCACGATAAACTAAGAGCGCTTGGTGGGAGGTCACACAGTCATTTCAAAGTACGAAGCTGATGTGCAAAAATAGTGGCGGGCCTTTTGATGGAACACACTAACGACGATTCACGGAGAAAAGTTCTACATCATTTCCGATAATCTCAAATCGAAACTTGTTACTTCCATGATTCATCAGTTTAAACGAATTTGGAATTTATTGTCGATCATGATTTGTGCACACTTGTGATATAATTCCCATCAATACATGATTTCACTTGACTGACGTATGTTGTCTCATTGTGGTACTAAAAGGGCGACCTGATCTCATTTAAAATCTTAGGTTTGACGAGGTTCAGCAAGGAAAGCTTGGAAACATTTACATTGGCTCTGTGGTTATACCAATGCTGCTGAGTTGGCAAAAAGATTTCCAAGATTCGACTATTAGTTTGAACGCGTGATGATATTTGCAATGATTATTGGACCTCTTACATTACGTTCCAATATTATTAAACACATGTCAATGATTGCACGGCAAACTGACGACGATCCATTGATAAAAGTTCGTTTAGGGTCCCTACATCAGCCCCAAAAGTCGAAACTTGTTACTTCCACGATTTATCAGTTTCATGAATTCGGAAGTCGTTACCAAAAAGGGGCTAAACAAGGGCACAACATAAAAACATTGATTTCCGTCGTCTGTCAGCGTCATTAGAAGTTAGGTTTTAGAGACAGGAACTGGACCTTAGCCGGCCTTCGCTGTTTGCAGTGAAGCAGTGGATACGAGGTTGCTGTTTGCAAACAGCCAAGAGCCTCTTATTGCATGGATAGTCATTCCACTTCTTGTCTGAAGATCTTATGGCTGCACAGTGCTCCTGCATTTTAAAATTATCAGGCTGACCGCTTCTCCAGTTGGTGTAATTCCAATCGTGGGACCCCTCACACTTCCAGTCGCCTTCCTGCTTTCGATCGCTGCACGCAATCCAGACGGTGCTGCCAAGGGCATGGCTTACCATGAAGTCGTTCTCCTGGTCCGAGCGTGGCACTGCCATCTTGGCTCCCAGTTTACGACAAGTCTGACGGGCGTCGTCATACGAGAGAGGTTGTTTGGTGAGGAGGTAGCAAGATCTACCCCATTTCTTCCAGGGAGCTATGCAAAGCCCATAGTGTCGATCGCATAATTGAAAGGAGCATAAAACGCTGCTTGCAAATGCCAGAAAGATGAAAAGAAAACAGGGCGACATCTTTTTCCAATGACGCTAGTTTTCCCTCTTGTTATTCCAAATTCAAAAATATCCCAGTCACATGCGACTTGCGCTGTCAACCTTATTAAAACTAATTTAAATTCAGCGATGATATACCAGAAACATGGAGATGAATAGATAAGCCAATTATGCTATTGTGGCACAGTTACCATGCCAACTTAAAGCTTCTGCTCCTGAAAAGCACTTAAATATTTCAAAATACGCAAACATCAAGTTACCGCATGCCATTATATACAATTTTCACAAAAGAGAAGATCAACTTCCTTTCAATGATCCTATACGGAAGTATTCGAAGAAGTAACACATATCTAAGCTTGACTTGAATAAGACCAATTGCCATCTGCAAAATTTAGTGTTTCATCGTATCACGCATGGTAAAAGTGACGCAGTGTGTTCACACGAATTCGCCGTGTCTAGTTATTCCGCATTCCAAAAAAGGATTCAGTTGCAAATTGTGAAGGGTGCTTCCAGCATTATTAAACATTTACCGAATTCAGCAATTACCACATAGGTGGAAGTAATGACGTGGGCCAAGCATAAATTTAATTGGAGGTTACCATGGCAACTGGTAGCTACAGCTCATAAAATGGTACTTATTGCACACTAAGCCAAACCTCGATGAGCCCTCCCCATTATTAGTTTAAATATTCATGCACAAAATTTCAACTGCAAGATCTTTAACGGCAGTCAATGACGTAGCACAATCAGAAACCTGCTGTTGTTTACAAATGTTACTAACTGCAAATTTATTTAGTTGAGGTGTTACACTCACAGTAATAAAAAAGAAAAAACTAACTCAGAATTAAATAACTTATTGAAAAGTGAAACATTTATATGCCTTTGATGCTATTCAATTTGACTTTATGGTGGACCTCAGAGAAGGAACTTGATACACAGTTGTGTCATTTTCCATAATATGTCAGGTCACCAAAAAGTTTTCCAAACTCTGCAATTTGATAGGCAGTGGTCCACATTTGTTATTTTAAATCTTACTGGCTATTTTACAATCATTTTATGTCATGGTTGCATTCATTTTTCCTCTCTTTTTTTGGGAGGGGGCGCTGCACTACTTTGTTAATGTACAGTATAAGGTATCACACATTTACACGATTTTAATTAAGACAAGTATATACTGTTTGTGGGTGTTTTGATATAATTAATCGCTTGTAATTTACTTGTTGATAATCTACTTATGGCGTCTTTAACGAGCTGTCCAAATATAATGTAATTGCCTTTTTAAGGATAAATAAAGTATTCTGAATTAAATTGAATTCATTCCCAGTCGCGCACGTGATGACTCCTTACAAGCTTGGGTGATACTGATGGAAATGAAACTATATAGGTCGGCGGAGGCGGTACCAAAATGGTTGCTGTCAAGAACAAAATGGCTTCTGGGCTGCCAGCAGTATACGTTCAAATCTGTTAAATTTAGTAATTACAGGGCAAACTACAGGTAAATACTCCGGTAGGAACTTCGATTTCCCTTCATCACTTTATTTTGGGCGTCCTTAAAAGTTACAATTTAGGTACAGGAATTAGATTCCAGCCGGCCTTCGCTGTTTGCAGTGAAGCAGTGGATACGAGGTTGTTCTTTGCAAACAGCCAGTATCTTCACATTGCAGAGATTGTCGTTCCACCTCTTGTCTGATGACCTTATGGCTGCACAGTGCTCCTGCATTTTAAAATTATCAGGCTGACCGCTTCTCCAGTTGGTGTAATTCCAATCGTGGGACCCCTCACACTTCCAGTCGCCTTCCTGCTTGCGATCGCTACACGCAACCCAGACGGTGCTGCCAAGGGCCTGGCTTGCCATTAAGTTGTTCTCCTGGTCCGAGCGTCGCACTGCCATCTTGGCTCCCAGCTTACGACAAGCTTGACTGGCGTCGTCATACGAGTGGGGCTGTTTGATGCATCCATAGTGCACATCAACAAGAGGAAAGGAGACAAGACTTCCTGTGACAATCACCGCGGGATATCGCTTCTGTGCATCGCTGGGAAGGTCCTCGCCAGGGTCATCCCCCAACAGACTCACCAGGAACGTCATTAAGAACATCGTCCCTGAATCACAGTGCAGATTTCATGCAGGCAGGAGCACCAGCGACATGGGAAGCTACAGCAGAAATGCTGTAAACAGAATCAAGAGCTCCACCTGGTGTTCGTAGACTTCAGCAAGGCCTTCGATACCGTGAACCGGAACGGCCTGTGGAAAATTCTGCAGAAGTTTGGCTGCCCAGACAAGCGCGCAGCGCTGATTGCCTCCTTCCATTACGGCATGCAAGCTCGAGTCCTAGAGGACGGTTACGCCTCGGTCCCTTCCAAGTGAACAACGGAGTGAAGCAGGGCTGTGTGCTTGCCCCAACCTTCTTCTCCATCATGTTTGCAGCGATGCTGCTCGACGCCTTCAGCGACTGTGACAGAAGAGTGTACATCCAGTTCCGCACTGATGGGAAACTTTTCAACCTGTAAAGACTCTAAGCCAAAACCAAAGTGTTTGAAGCCATTCTGCGCGAGTTCGTCTTCGCAGACGACTGTGCACTGGCTGCACACCTCCACGATGACATGCAGTATATATGATAGATCGCTTCGCAGCTGTCTGCAGACGATTTGGACTGACAATCAGTCTTGGAAAGACTGAAGCCATGTTTCAGCCCTTACCATCACGGGCTGACAATGCATCACAACCATCTCCCACCGTCATCAACGACACAGAGATCAAGACTCTGGACAAGTTCTACTACCCAGCGTCCAAAGAGCAGTGGATCTTTGGACGCTGAGGTGATGCAGCGCATTGGAAAGGCAAGCGTGGCCTTCGGCCGACTGATAAAGAGACTCTGGCAAGACTACGGCATCCGATTTTCCACTGAGATTGCCGTGTATAGAGCTGCAGCCCTGGGTGCACTTCTCTATTGTTGCGAGACGTGTACCACCTCCCCCCCCCGGCACATTCAGCAGCTAGAGCAGTTCCACCAACGATGTCTACGGAAGATCTGCAGCATCAGTTGGCAGGACAGAGTGTCCAACCTCCAAGTCCTGGAAAAGTGTGGCCTCCCCAGTATCGAATGCTTGAACTTCAAGTGCCAGCTGAGATTGACAGGAAATATTGTCCGTATGGAAGATGACAGGATTCCAAAGATGCTGCTGTACGAACAGTTGAAGCAGGGGGCACCGCGACCAGGGAAAACCCTTCAAGAGATACAAGGACACCCTGAAGGCAAACTCCAAGAGCTGCAACATCGATGTGAACTCTTGGGAAGCAACTACCCACGAGAGAGCTCGTTGGAGGCACCGGTGTACACAAGGCACAAAGGCTTTTGAAGCCATCAGAGCTGCTGCTATTCCAGCAAAGAAGGAGAGAAGGAAACAGAGTTCGTCTTCTGTGGATGCATTCCTTTGCAGCATCTGTGGCCGGTCATGTGCGTCACGAATCGGTCTTCATTCTCACGTGAAGTCCCACGCCGGCAAATGACCAGCTGCCTACTCACCCGTCGCATCGACAGGAGACTCCATAGTACATGTCGCCCATTATTTCAATGTTGTTTACATAGTTTTTTGTTTCGTTTTATTTATTTTTTTTTTGGCTTCGTAGTCATTTTATTCAGCATTATAAATTCATTTTCTTTTCATTATACTTTTTACGAGTTCATTACAAATCATCATCACCAGTCGTGCACGTGATGACTTATTATGGCCCGAGGTATGGTGTTCTATAGCCGACAAAATTGCGTTGCGTTGTGCCGTCGCCACCTTATATGAATACACGTGTTTCACACAGTCTGGGTTTTGTTCAATTCAAGGTTTTTGATTCAGTGCATAGATTGAATTTCACTTCAGAAGTGTCCACTTCCGACAGGGTTTAACAGGTTTAACAGGGTAAACAGTGTACGTACCTGCCTTTTGTGAGAGTGGCCGTTGGGGTTCCAGCGAGGCCTTTCTGCCTGGCAGATGGCCTCCACATTCCGAGGCCCTGGGTGGGAAGAGGGTACACAGGTTCGGGGGTTTGGAGAGCAGGGGGTGGGTGGATTGGTGAAACTACCATTTACCAAAGACTGACTGCACACCATGTCAGGATTGTGCTTCTGCTGTTTTATTTGTGTGGGGTCTGGCCTGTGAAAAGTGGGCAGGCACTCATTAGTTCTAGATTACGACAAACTAAATCAAAAACCTACAAATCACAGCAAACTAGAAAGGATTGAAGATACACTTATTAAACATGGTCCCAAACAATCTACTATCAAACCAGCCTATAATCACAAGCGGATAAAATAAGATTAATAAAAATGTACAAATATTACAAGTGGTGAAAAAAATAAAGTAATACAAATCACAACAAAAACTTGGTAACACCTGTGAAAATTAGGCAGGCAATGCCCTGCAGCCCACGCAACGTACAATACCGCACACACTACTTGTCCAGTAAACAATTCAGTACAGGCGTTTCACAATAGTGCGCCTCCAAGAATTTCAACGCGTTGGCCAATCACAATGCGCGAAATTTGTCGACCCAATGCGCGTTTGGAAAAGGTCGACAAATTTCGCCCGTTCTAATTGGCTAATGCGTTGCACCATAGGATGTTACTTTAACACAGCTGGTGTTAATTTGCACACCTATGAGTGTTACGGTGCACCGAAGGGTGCTAAAAGTAACAACAAATAACTTTTAACACTAGTGAAAAGTGTTGGTGTAGTCGTCTGATAACACCGGTGGTGTTAAATTTAACACCCCAGTTTTTGCAGTGTGGTCAAAAATCAAAGCAAGTATAATATATGGAAAATCTGCAAATATATAATTACAAAATCACAAAAAAGTAGCCTTGATTTCGTCACGTGGGATCTCTAAACACTTTTATCTCTACAAGTACATACGTATTTTATTGTAATTCAAAATGTTGGTAATTATGCAGTGAAATCAAAACCAGTTACAAAACGTTCTTTATACAGCGAGTTTCAATCAGGCCTGAGTTGTTACTGTATTAAATCACAAAGGAATGAAAACAAATGCCTTTTGTACACATTAGAGCAAGGCAAAATGCCAGCATTTTCTACCTTCATAATAGTATGTAAAATAAATACATAAATGTCATTTCTTTCATTCATATCTGTGGACTCTTCTATAGTCAAAACCTGAAATTCGGTTTAAACGCTGGTGGGCACTTTACCCTTGGTGCCTGTACCAATATCTCTGAAGGAACTGTCTTCTCTGTGGGTACGTGTAGGTACTATACTGCATACATTTTACTTGGACTTAGACAATATTTAAGGTGGCTTGTGATTTTAATAAAGTTATTTGGTTTACATTTCTTAATTTTAATCCATTTTCTTATATTTGTAACAAAGAAATAAATAAAAGAAAGGTCACAAACAGGCAGCTAATTTACTTCGACATTGAACCGAATGGTATTCACTTTTTATAAAAATAAAAAACAAAAATTTTTAAAATCAGATTGAGATTTTCTACAAATCAGATTCTTTTAATAATAAAAAAAAAATAATCGCCAATCCTGATTATTGCGAATTTGGGTAGACTCACTTTTCTCTTATTCTACACCCGTGATGACTTGTACGAATGTTTGGTCTTGGTTGATGTAAGACCTACAAGCGCAAAATTTAGCCAACCATTGGGCATACCACTTAGATCGAAACAAGTTTGTTTGTCTTATTATTATCTGTTATACTAAACTGACAATTCGATGATTCGATGCCAGTCAAAACATTGGGTTTGTACAGAGGTTCAAAGGATGCAGTTGGAGAACATTTACATCGGCTCTTTGTTTGTACAGCTTTCTTTGTTGAGCTGACGAAACGGTTTCCAAGATTCGACCATTATTTTGATCGAATGATGACATTTCCAATGATTGCTGGGCCTCCAACAGTTCGTCCAATTTTACTAAACACGATGATGAAAGCCAAACTATGGGCAGCACTCACATATCACTTTATCTTGGGCGTCATTAAAAGTTACTGTTTAGATACAGGAATTAAATTCCAGCCGGCCTTCACTGTTTGCAGTAAAGCACTGAATACGAGGTTGTTCTTTGCAAACAGCAAGCAACTTAGTGTTACATCTACGGTCATTCCACTTCTTGTCTGATGACCTCATGGTTGCACAATCCTCCTGCCTGTCATAATTATCAGGCTGACCGCTTCCCCAGTTGGTGTAATTCCGCTCGCCGGACCCCTCACACTTCCAGTCGCCTTCCTGCTTGCGATCGCTGCACGCAATCCAGACGGTGCTGCCAAGGGCATGGCTTGCCATGAAGTCGTTCTCCTGGTCCGAGCGTGGCACTGCCATCTTGGCTCCCAGCTTACGACAGGTATGACGGGCGTCGTCAAACGAGTTGGGCTGTTTGGTGAGGAGGTAGCAAAATCTACCCCATTTCTTCCAGGGATCTATGCAAAGCCCATGGCGTCGATTGCATGACACAAAGGAGCATAAGCCCCAGCTTAGAAGGATTGCAAATGCCAGCAAGAAAACGAAACGGGGCGACATCTTTTTTTAAAAATATGATACCAACACTCTGTGTCTAGTTATTCTGCATTTGAAAAATGACTCTGGTTGCAATTTATACGGCTCGTGTGCACTGCCAATTAGTATAGCAGGAAGAATCTATTCAATTCAACAATTGCCTCCAAGGTAGCAACAATCATCATGGCGACTGATTACGCACTTAAGACTTGGTTACCATAGCAACTGGTAGCTACAGTTAAAGAAAGATAATTGTTACACAATATACAAAACCTCGATGTGACCTTTGCTATTTTTATTTCAACTATGCACGCACTGAATGTCATAAAAGATATTAATTGCAGACACTGAGACGTTGCATGTATCCCAAACCTGTTGTTGACTAAAATGTTGCTGTTATTGAGCTTGCTGTCGCACGTCTTTTCTTCTAAACACCAAAAAATATGGTCATAATAATGAGAATAGAAAGGTATTTACTTAAATTCAGCAACATACAGAAAAGTGTCTTCTTATCATTTGCACTCTTTTGATACTGCTAAATCTGACTTTAATGTAGGCCTCAGTAAACGATCACAGCCACATACCGGTACCGTTGTATCATTTTTGCTTCATCGAAATGAACGTTTTCAAGTCAACAGGAAACTTTTCAATTCCTTCTGCATATATACTTTTTCACGGAGTATTTCGTTCGAAAGCACATTTGTCGAAACATCGCGTTTTTTACTACAAACCTGTCGGCGTCATACTTAGTGTAATTTTTTTATGTCAACTATTCACTGCTATTACGTAGGTTTTACTTTGCTTCGTGGTCATTTTATTTAGCATTACATTTTAATTCATTTTGTTTTCATAATAGTTTTTACAAGTTATACTCGTGAAACTAATTTGAGCGGAAGGTGGGCGGAGGCGTTTACATTGTTTTCTATCAGGAACATAATGGCTTCCGTCAGATACTGCAGGCAGAGTTACAAAAGAGGTATTGCACTGCTCCTTGCACATGATTGGAGTATAGCCAATATCAACGGTATAAAGCCAATAATCTATAATACCGCTTTCAACATCCATGTATTGTATACTATTTATAAGGATAGTTAGCATTTTCAACAGGGTAATAGAACCTTGCACACAAAAATCACAGAGGAAGGAGTTTCCGACATAATTTCCTAGTTAATCTACTCTACATTAGAAGTGTTACTTTCACACTGATGATACTGCTTAAATTCAGAATTCCCGGGTTCCATTTACGATTGTGTTCTTTTTGTATGTAATTCTCATAAGTAGAGGTTTGTTTTTATTTTGAAACAAGATATCAAAGTTTTCAGGGTTGACCGATTTAATCACCTTGACTTTAAACACCAAAGCAAAGCAGTAACTTGTTTCGAAAGCACATTTGTCGAAAAATCACATGACATCAGAATATTTGTCAAATATACAGTTCAATTTTTCTTGACTACAAACCTGTTGGCGTCATGCTTAGCTTAATAGCTGTATATGTCAACTGTTGATTGGTTTTACATTGCTTCGTCGTCATTGTACTTGGCATCGTATTTTATTTCACTTCTCATCCATAATATTTTTACAAGATCAAATGAAACCTTGTCTCTATCTTCTATTCTTGATTATACTATGTATTAATGAATCGATATTTCTCTTTAGACATTGTAAAAGACGTTATCATTGATGATTTCTTAAAATCTCTCACTAATGAAACTTGAGAGAAATCTGTTTAAAGGGTTCCCATTCTTGACGAGCTTGTTTCTTATAGAATAGCTCCTCATGTATATTACATATTTTCTTCTGCTAAACACTAAATATACAATATTTTGTCGTATGTGGAAATAAAGTGAGATGATTGATTGATTGAATGAATATATTACCAGTCGCGCACGAGATGACTCCTTACGGCCTTAGGTGATACTTATGAAATGGACACTAAATAATGATCAGGATATGGACGACGACGGTGACAATGGTTGCCATTCATCAGGGTAACTTCCATCAAAATGCTGGCACACAGCTTTGAATAACGGAATAAAATCCATCCCATTTCTTCCCAGGGGGCAGTGAAGAGCCCGCTGCCTTGATCGCACGATATAGAACGGCTTAAGGTCTCTCTCAGAATTGCCAACAGTACGTGGATGCCAAATATTTGAAAAGATATGATATCTGTCAAACTAAACGCAAATTCCAAGCGTTTTTTTTATCAGTGCAACTGTCTTCGTATGGCACCAGGGGAGGAGGCCAGTGTAACACCAACAATCGTAGTATACACATACATGCCATGGCAGTCGGATCCATATCTCAGTGAAGCAAATCAATTTTACGATTTGAAATAGCTGGTGAAAGGGTAATTTACCATGACAACACCCAATGTTGTAGCCAGGCTCTTCTCAGAGGATGAGGGTGGCTGGGCAAAAGTTCCCTGATGGGAAGTCCACCCTCCGGTGGCTAAGCCACTGAGTTAGTAAAACAGACAGCTCTTGCAAGAACCTTGTTGAATAGCTCTATGTCCACATGAAGGTAACGCACATCGACACGCTGCAGATGGCGTGGTAACGGCTCCCCCATCCCCCTAGATTTCCAATTTCCCAGAGGGGGAGCTGGTTTGTTGTAACAGTCATTAAGGATTGGGCATTTCATAAAGGCATTAACAAACGCGGGCAGATGATCATTTGTTTCCTTTGAGCTTTGAATTAGTACAACCCCACATATCAGCATGTGTTTGAATCATGGTAGTGCGTCTCCTGTACATCAGCGTACTGGCAACGCTCTAAGCAGTGATGAGCTGAGAGCGCTTGGTTTGAAGTCGCACATAGCTGAAGTGCAAAAATAGTCGAGCGCCCTTCGATGGAACACATTGAGGTCAATTCGCAAATAAAAGCTCGTTTTCATCATCTCCTACTCTCAAGTGGAAAGTGGTTGCTTCCACGATATACCAATTAACCTGAATTCGGAATTCACTATTGAAGGGAGGATCACCAAGGGCAGCATGGAAACATTTACATCGGCTCTGTGTTTATGCAGATGGTGTTGAGCTGGCAAAACGGTTTTTAAAATTCAACCATGGAAATGCGTGATGACATTTTCAATGATTGTTCGCCCCCCCCCCCACATTGCGTTCCAGTTGAACACGATACGAGTCAAACTATGGACAAACACTCAGATAGAAACATTGATTTCCGTCATCACTTTATCTTGGGCGTGGGTAGAAGTTAGGGTTTAGAGACAGGAATTACATTCCAACCGGCCTTCACTGTTTGCAGTGAAGCAGGGGATATGAGATTGGTGTTTGCAAACAGCCAACAGTTTAGTGTTGCATCCAAAGTCGTTCCACTTCTTATCTGATGATCTTATGGCTGCACAATGCTCATGCCTGTCATAATTATCAGGCTGACCACTTCCCCAGTTGGTGTAATTCCAATCGTGGGACCCCTCACACTTCCAGTCGCCTTCCTGCTTGCGATCGCTGCACGCAATCCAGACGGTGCTGCCAAGGGCCTGGCTTGCCATGAAGTCGTTCTCCTGGTCCGAGCGTGGCACTGCCATCTTGGCTCCCAGCTCACCACAGGCCTGACGGGCGTCGTCATACGAGAGAGGCTGTTTGGTGAGGATATAGCAAAATCTACCCCATTTGTTCCAGGGAGCTATGCAAAGCCCATGGTGTCGATCGCATGATTGAGAGGAGCATAAAACACTGCTTGCAAATGCCAGAAAGACGAAAACGAAACAGGGTGACATCTTTTTTTTTCCAAAATATAATACGAACGGTGTCTAGTTATTCTGCATTCGAAAAAGGAACTCGGGTTGCAATTCATACGGCCCGTACGCACTGCCAGTAAGTGTAACAGGAAAAATCAATTCAATTCAGCAGTTGCTTCCAAGGTAGCAATTACTATGGTGGCTGATTGCACACTTGAGGCCTGGTTACCATGGCAGCTGGTAGCTACAGTTAAAGAAAGATACTGATTACACAATATACGAAACCTCGATGTGACCTTTGCCATTTTATTTCAACTATTGACGCATGGAGTGTTATAAAAGATATTAATGGCAGACACCGAGAAGCTGCGTGTATCCCAAACCTGTTGTTGACTAAGATGTTGCTGTTATTGATGCTTAACGTTGCACGTCTTTTCTTCTAAACACCAAAACTACGGTGATAGTAATGGGAACAGAAAGGTATTTACTCAGAATTCCGTAACTTACAGAAAAGTGTCATCTTAATATTTGCACTCTTTTGATACTGCTAAATCTGACTTAAGTGTATGTATCAATAAAGGAACACAGCCACAGAATGGTACTGTTTTATCATTTTTTTCTTCCATCAAAATTAACGTTTTGAAGTCAACAGGTAACTTAAAACCTTTCAATAAAGCCTGACAGTAAAAGATCACGCAGCGAGCTTCTGGAACCCTTGCGCTGTCCTCCTCTGGGGGGGGGGTTACATTGGGCCGTCCAATTACGTGCGATAATGTTTGGAAAAATAATTCCTAACTGAAACCACCCCATAAAACGCTCATTATTATTACATATTTTGGGTAATAACACCAAGGATTCCTCAAAAGCGCCCTAGGCACTGTAGAGAGGAAACAATGAGAAGCAGTTACAGTTTTAGAGGTGGGAGGAAAATCCCAAAGGAATATTCTGGGTAAAACCCATGGATTAAGGTAGGGACTGAAAACCCAATCCACATGTGGACCGGGCCGGGATTCGAACCTGGACCGCAGAGGTGGAAAGCGAGGAAAGAACTGCTACGCCAACCTGACTCCTGTTGGAATTTTACCTTTGTCTTCCTCAAGTAATATTTAGGAAAACTCACCTGGAGATGGGTAAAAAACGATTTTTCTTAACTTAACAACCTTTCACGTCTGGCGATATCGTACCTAGGTCTCCATGTTAATTAACGTTTGTTTTTACTGTCCGTGCTTACGTGACTACGAGATTGTACAACGTTGCAAAGATTTACCTAGTTGCAGTCGAAGGGTTCACGTTGAGTTGACATCACGCAGTTGTTGTCGGCAAAGGTTAGATAAAAGATCAGAATCATTCGTAATTGAAGTAGAATATTGCTTTAGGTTCTATTACTTCTTAATTATAAGACTGCATAAAAAATTTGATCTGTTTTATTTTGGCTTTTACCGACGAACTACCATAAAATTTTAAACCGTAAATTTTTATCTGCATACGGGACTGCTTCTTTGCACTGTCTTCATGTAATTTAGATTTTCAGAAGTGATGGGTCATTTTTTGGCAGGATATTTCTCTTTTAGGTCAGGTGATTTTTCAGTTTCTATAAATTGATATAGGCCCATTAGCAAATATTTTCCAAAGCCCCTTTTCTGAGTTGGGTTTTTCAAGAAGTAACTGAACAAAAAAATATTATAAATTCTAAAATCTTTGCACGTTATTTTTCCTATCCAAGGGTTCCGGAAGCGCGCCATCAGGGGTCAACTTTCAGGCTCTATTCCTTCTTCACATAATGTTTTCGCAAGGTATTTGGTTTAAAAGCGCGTTTGTCGGGACATCACGTGACATCAGAATATTCGTGAAATAAGTAATTAAGTCTTTCATTCTTAGACAGTTTAATAACTTTATGTCAACTATTTGCTGTTTTCAGGTAGTTTTTTGCCTCGAAGTCATTTTATTTGACATTACATTTTAATTCATTTCCTATTCATATTATTATTACAAGTTCATTACAAATCATTACCAGTTGCGCACGAGATGACTCCCCACGGCTTTAGGTGATACTCACGAAAATGAGACTAATGCATGTGGGCGGAAGGCGGGCGGAGACGGTGACAATAATTGCTACCAGGAGCATGACGGCTTCTGTTATTTTAACGCAGGCACAGCTACAAAACATGTATTGCATTGCTCCATGCACATTGAAGTATAGCCAATGTTAACGGTATATAGCCAATAACAATAGCTATTGTTACTGCTCCGAATTCCATGTACTGTTTACCATGTTACTATTTATAAGAAAAAGTCGGCATTGTAAACACGGTTATAGAACCTCGCACACAGAAATCATAGAGGACAGTGTTTTCGACATCATTTCCTAACTAACTACATTCGAAGTCACTGTGTTACTTTCACACTGATGATACGGCTTAAATTCAGAATTCCAATTCCAAGGTTTGACTGTGCTATCTTGCTGTATAATTCTCATAAATGTAGGGTTGTTTTTATTAATATTCTGAAACATGATCTCAAAGTTTTCAGGGTTGGCCAATTTAATCACCTTGACTTAAATCGCCTATTTAAATCATATGATTTTTGAAAAGTTACTCATTTAAATCAAACTTTTTATTTTTTTTAAAGTTGAAAATGTTTGGTTTTTTTTTCAAGTAATTGGTAATAGACCAGTCGCGTCCGATAAATCACGTGATCTATAGTGGGTATCAACCCCCTAGCAACGTGTGCTCAAACAATAAAGCCAATTTACGATATAGTACCCAGCACATCAGTATAGTCGGAGTACGGTACCTACCGTCGGCTTTGACGAGTGCAGCTTGAAATTGTTTACATCGTCTCTTTGCTTATGCTGTTGAGCTGATAAAAAAAATCCTAGATTCGACCATTATTTTGAACTAATGATAAAATTTACAGTGCTTGTTGGGCCTCCAACAGTACGTTCCAGTCTTATTAAACATGGTGAGACCACTCAGATAGAAACATTGACTTTCAATCATCCCTTTATCAAAGACGTGATTAGAAATTTTGTTCTAGATACAGGAATCCGCTTCCAGCCGGCCTTCACTGTTTGCAGTGAAGCACTGGATACGAGGTTGATATTTACAAACAGCCAACAGCTTAGCGTTGCATCCATAGTCATTCCATTTCCTCTCTGATGACACTATGGTTGCACAGTGCTCATTCATGTCATAATTGTCAGGCTGATCGCTTTTCCAGTTGGTGTAATTCCACTCGCCGGACCCCTCACACTTCCAGTCTTCTTCCTGCTTTCGATCGCTGCACGCAATCCACACGGCGTGGCCGGGGGCCATTCTTGCCATGAAGTCGTTCTCCTGGTCCGAGCGTGGCACTGCCATCTTGGCTCCCAGCTTACGACAGGTATGACGGGCGTCGTCATACGAGAGAGGCTGTTTGGTGAGGAGGTAGCAAAATCTACCCCATTTCTTCCAGGGAGCTATGCAAAGCCCATGGCGTCGATCGCATGATTGAAATGAGCATAAAGCTCTGCTTGCAAATGCGAGAAAGACGAAAACGAAACACGGGGACATCTTAACAAAGTATGATACGAATTCTCCGTGTCTCAGGTTGTTCAGCCCTCCAAACAATTCCAGTCACAATAACTGTGACTTGCGCTGGCAGCATTATTAAAAATTGAGTGCATTCAGCATTTGCCGGGAAAAGGAGCATTAATCTGGTGGGCCACATTACACATTTATGCCAACGTTACCATGGCAACTGGTATCTGCAGCTTAAATGGTACTTACATTAAGCTTAAATGGTACACACATTAGGCCAAACCTGAATGCGACCTTTGCCGGTTTTATTTAAAATATTCATGCACGAATTTCACCGTTAGATTTGTAACGACAGACAGTGAGAAGTTGCATACATTTCAACCTGATATCAACTATAGATCATGTTCCAATTAAATTGTAAACTTATCGATGCTCTGTATTGAACGTCATTTTTCAAAAATCACAATAAATTTACAGACACAATAATAAAACAAGAATGGTATTCAATCAGAATTCAATAACCTGCAGAATAGTGTCATCGTAACAGCTGCGACCCGAAATCGGACTTTAAAGTTGGGCCTCGGTAAAGGAACATGCACGGTTGTCTCATTTTTCACAACGTTGCAATTAACGTTTTCAAGTCAGCAGGTGGTTTTCAAAGCTCTGCGATTTCTTACACATTGATATTTTCCGGCAAAGTAGCAATTCGTGAAGACACGTGTCATCACAACTATTTTTATGTTTATTTTTGATAGAATTACAAATCATCACACGTTGCTCACTTGAGAAATCCTTACCTTGGGCAATGTTGGTGAACCGGTGAAAAAGTCGTTGCTGAGTGTCATGCGCAAAATGGTCCTCCATAACAATCGCAGTGTTGAGATTGACCTGAGTTCTGAGAATGGCCGCACTGCAAGCTGTCTCGTGGGAGAGGGCTCGGGAAAGCCAACTTGATAATTCCATGGTATGTCCGATTATTCACCTATTTCTAACCATTCTTGTCCGACTGGTATCTCAGATCGATTTTCCCGTATGTCAGCTCTCTACCACAATCTCCTGCGTGTGGCATCGATGTACCGGTACCCGGCAAGATATAAGACGGAGGGGTACCGTTTTACATGTCCAATTAATCCATATACTCTAGCCACTGTTACCTAACACCCCCCCCCGGATATCTGTAAAGAATTCCTGAGATTCTGATCAAACAATGACCAACACAAAGGGGGTGCTATCCGCCCATATCTTGCTTCGTATCAGCATCCACGGCAGGCGCACATTATGCAATGGTTTTGCCCTAACTGGTTATTCCAAGGGATGAAAACGTAGCATACGTTTCTTCCATCCCTTGCCCCTTGTTACGGTCAGCTGTTCTTGTTCAAGAGAGAGTATACAGGAGGAACTCTATGTCAATTCAATTCTGGGCACGGCTGGTTCTTGGCAGCATGGAGGAAGGTGTTCCTTCCTCCATGTTGGCAGGAACAAGCAAGACGATTCAACAAAATAATATGCCGTACCAGTGCTGGACGCAATCAGTCGATCAGCGTGATTGCGAGATCGCGTTGTAGTGTGTTGTAAAGAATCTTGGACTTTTCTTCCTTTTTTGAAACCATCTTCCAATAACGACGAAAAAAGAAAGGGCGAATGGCCGGTGGCAGAATTATTGGTACATTGTGCAACCAGATCGCGTAATCGCGCAATTAAGATCGAGAAATCGCACGAACTTAACGACTCTCTGAATTCTTCCGGTTTTTCAGTTCACCCTTGAGTCAAATATCAGGACGATCTAGTTGAATAGTTCACACTAAACATAACCAGCCAAACGGTAGAGTCCAAGAAGACTCTTCAATCCTGCAAAATGATTTGCAGTACACCCACACTTTTTTTTACATATGCAGCATGGTATGAGACGGAGAGAACCCCCCCCTGCTTTGTGTTGGTCATTGTCTCGCAGGAATCTGGGGAATTCCTTTCAGACATCTTGGAGGGGATGTGTTGAGTAACAATAGTTTGGAATGTGTATAGGGATTGGACATGTTTGGAGGTACCCCTCGGTCTCATTTCTTGCTGGGTATATATTTTTTTACTGCATCAAGGGCGTTCCTTTACAACCAGTGCACTATTACATTTTCCGGGCACAAAATAAACTGGTAACAATAAAAACGTAGTCTTTGTGAATGAAGGACGGGGAATCTGATTACTTATGAGCCCTTAAGGCCCAAGTGCTTCATTTTCTCATTTGTCCTCTTTTGGTTCGATGGCCTATGACTTCTAATTAATGTGACATTCTGATTTTGTAAGTTGATTGGAGCACGGGCGAGGTATACGCTATAACGGTTACCCATAACCAACACATTCTATGGTCTGCCAGTTGCTGCTTGAGTGTTAAACTGACCTTTAATGCTCATGACGTTACAGTAAATGCTGTAACGTTAATTGCCTGAACTTCCTACGCAGTGGCACAAGTGGGCTAAATGTCCGAGGGGCACTAGGGGGTACACGTAAGTTTTTTCAAGGGGGCACCACAAACAAAATAAGCTGCCACTGAATGGCTATATAAACTCAACGAAGATTATTCTGATTTCAAGGGGGGGCGTACTCCCTGTCGTTACGCCACTGATCCTATGCCTTTTTCTACTTCACACAGTTTGCAATAAAACGAGGTCGTCATGGCTTCCCTGCCCCCCCCCCATGACCTGGCCTTTGTAAGTTATGTATGCATAGGCATCTCAACCCCCACCACCCGGAAATTAAAGGTAAATGCTTGTGCGAAAGTCCAACGTGTGCAAGCGCGTATGATGCGCGCGGCTGGAACATGTAGCGTTGTATTGGAGAAGAACACGTGCTAAGAGCTCACGTGCGCAGTAGGCGAGGCTTACGGTATTAGTGTATTGCTAACTGCTTGACATCTCTACCCTAAACCCGCTCTAAAGTATAAACAGTAACGAATAAAGGTTAAGGTGAAAGCAGTTTGTGAAAAAGGGGTGTTACCAGCGGAACTGAAAAGGGGAACCAGTCCCTTAAAGACCTAGAAAAAAAACAGAAAAGAAACAAACACCATTCAAATGTATCAACAAGCAAATACAAACGCTGTATTTCAGGGAAAATAACTGTCATTTCTCCCAAATCTTGTATTAAAAACAATACTCTAAGAATGTCAAAAATACATAATTCCATGGCCATTTTTGCAAAATAATTATTTACAATAATAAATGTAATGTTTTTAATACATTAAACACTCATTACTGTTCTTATATCAGTAATCTGGGCAACCAACATTTCAGTAAATTTTGCTCCAAGACGTAAGTTAAAGTTGGTGTTTTCTTACATCACTTTGGAGTAAGCCTTGTAGCAAGGTAAATATAAAATGTATAAAAATTCTACTTTACATGTACATGTATGTTATGTTGTCAACAAGTTTCCTACTCTCTACAGCTGCTGATGAATAGACTGGAATTTTTTATGTACGTGAGTTCAGACTTTTCTAGCCCTAAGTTCACGATTGCAGGTTAATTTTAAGGCTACCTGTGCACTCATTGACGAAGACAAGAAAGTCTAATCCACGTCTGCAAACTGAGGCTTTGTTGAATATGACTCTTTTTCAAGAAATGAGCAACGTGAAGAAAACTGAATAACTGGCAAATCATGTCATGGGGTATACACTAGCAGGTATCCATTCTCTCCAGCCAGTCATGGGGTATCTGGCAGGTATCCATTCTCTCCAGCCAGTCATGGGGTAACTGGCAGGTATCCATTCTCTCCAGCCAGTCATGGGGTATAAACTGGCAGGTATCCATTCTCTCCAGCCAGTCATGGGGTAACTGGCAGGTATCCATTCTCTCCAACCTACATTCTACCATCTCTTGTTGGCACAGGGAGCCCTTAAGGCCGGTTCATAGTTGGAGCGAAAGCAAACACGAATTTGTAACGTCAGATCAAATATTTGCACTACAAATTCACAAAACTCAAACACATTTCAACTCGAGCAAAATTTCACTGCAAATCTTTCATGACATCAAATTCGCTTCACTTTCGTATTCGTCTGTAATTATGAACCGGCCTTTACCCAGGAACACATCAACTGGCAATCTACAGATTCATTTGCATAGCAAAATTACCATTGGGAAACAAACTGGACAGGCCCAATGATTCTTTGTCATTCTTTCGCACAAGCAAGACAGATCTCAAAGGGGAAATTGTCCAACATCTCCAAAATCCCCTACTTCAAAACTATATCATTATCATTCCCATTTATGACTACCTCAATGTCTAAGTCAAGCAAACTGATGCTGTCAAACCTCTGATGTAATTACAGGAGAAAAAATTCATGGAATAGTGACTGTAAATTCCTTTCCAATCTAGAACCAGTGCCACAGTCAAGTCGATCATACATCCCCGTAAATGTCAAGTCACAAGTCCAGGCGTACATAAGTGCAACGATAAACAAGGATAAAGGAGTACTCTTAGAAAACTTCAATGAATAGATTATGACCTGGCACAAGACTGAATTGGCCAGTCCCTGGACTTGATATAGACTAAGGATAGACTGACTAGAAAACTGCCAAATAGTACCCTTGACACATTTTCTTTATTCAAACAATCTTGTAAAAAACAAGCACACACAGATTTTCTGGGTGTGATTTGTGAGCTATGAAGCACCTTTATATTTATGATACACGACCTGCTCCGCAAAAATGAGTCCCATGTCAAGGGAGCCACCTTTTGAGTTTTGCTCTGTATTGGATTGAGGAATTTGAGCTTTATGTCTTGATGTGTCACTCAGTCTGGTATGATGGAAGTGAACGTTGTGTAGATTTTAAAATGTCGAGGACTGCTATTGCTTAAGCACTGTGCAAGATTCTGTAAAAAGGCCACTGACTCAAAAGTGGCTCTGGCGACGTGACTCAGTTTTGTAGAGCAGGTCATTATATGAGGAGTGGTGTATGGAGAGAGGGAGTGCTGTATATATCCTGCATTAGTACATGTACATACTATACACTCTGTAGATTCCTGCATTCTGAACCATTCAAACTTGAGACTCTCACAGACAGACACATTTCCCCCAGTCCGACAGTTCATAGTTTCAGAGTGAGGAATGTCTCAGAAGGCAAGTAGAGACCAGACCAAACAACAGATCTTCTTCCAGCATTCACCTTGGGGGCTTGTCGCGGTGGCTCCACCTGTACTTCTCATGACCCCTGTAGTCCACCCTGACGCCGTTGATGAGGCACTGGATGACCCACTCACAGGAGACCACGGGGATGTCGAGCTGTTGGGCACGGTGGAGGAGGGAGCGGGGACAGGACGGATCCGTCACGATTACATCACAGTCCAGCGAAATATCTGTTAGCAACAATAGTACAGAGAGTGAGGTGGTAAACTTTCTCCTGAAGCATCAAAGGGGTTTTCCACACATCATTTTGTTTCTCTCGTCTAACGTCAAGCTTCAGCAGGCCTGTGCAAAATATTCAATCGCTTCTCATATGTTCAAATACATGTTTTTAAATCAAATATTTGAAGGTGGAAATCAGTGAAATTTCTTGACACTGTTTTCTGAGCATATTTCAAAGCTTTAAAGAGTAAACAAACACAGCTGACAAATATGCTAAGCAGCAAGACCACAAAATTAAATTACTCTTCCAATTTTTCTTGTTTTAACTTTAAGTTGTGAGGAAATAAAATCCCTAACTGGATTTTTGTCAGTATAACTTTTAAGTAGACCCCAATTCTCATCCATTAACTACAGAATGAAGCTCAACCATCGATTGGTTCACCACCACACAAACATAAATTTCTGTTTTTGTGTCTGTTTGAAGTAATCAAGTATATGAATATGTAATCAATGTCGAAGGTCAGATATCCGATTATTCAATTATTCAAATTGGCCCAGCCTTAAGCTTCAGTTGCATGGATTCAATCTTGAGTTGAGAGAATTAAGCTCAACACGATTCCATCCTCTCTAGCACGGACATCAAATGAACATCAAACTCTTTCATATATGAAGCATCAAACACTTTCAAAAAATGAGGCATCAAACTCTTTCATATATGAGGCCCGGCATCAAACTCTTTCACATATCAGGCATCGAACTCTTTCATACATCAGGCAAACGTTGGGACCATCTGTGTTTAATTCCAACAGTGGATTTTTCTAACAATTGTCACGACCGAGAAACTGAAAGTTGCAAAATGTCTAGGCAGAGTAGGGTGGCTTTGAGTATGAGCACAGACGGGTACTAGAGCCTGCCAAGAAGTTGGAAGACAAGGCATGTCGAAATGAACCGGCTAGGGTAGGGACTACCATGCACGTCTATGAGAAATGGATGTAGCCACTAAATCAGTGGCTTCCATTGGTTTACATGTTATTTCTAGCCACAACCATAACTTTGACATAGCCTAAGGCTTACCTTGATGGTTTGTATGCCATGCTAATACAGCATACCAAGGAAGCACCAATCATGGACTAAAGTGTTTTACATTTTTAACAAACTGTGGCAATCTATGCAAAGACCAAACGGAGGCATAACAACCAATAAATGTGTTTCAACTGAGTCCTGTTGTAAATTGGTGTTTAGAACAAGAAATTCAAGTCACGGTTGCCTGCATTTGAACCACTACTTGCATCTCTTTACGCCGATTGCAGAGGCGTAGGCACAGGCGGGGTATGTGCCCCCCCCCCAATTCCCAGTGCCCCCCCTGAAAAAAATGGATGAATGGATACTGAACCAGGCAAACAAAAACTTGCCCCCCAAAACCACACCACTGAAAAGCTGGTACCCCACCACTGAAAGCTGGTACCCCACCACTGAAAAGCTGGTACCCCACCACTGAAAGCTGGTGCCCCACCACTGAAAGCTGGTGCCCAACCACAAGATGCTGGGCTCCCTTTGGTGCCCCCCTCCCACTAGTAAAATCATAGCTACACCACTGGCTGATTGAGTTCTTGATACGATCTTGGAGGATGAGGCTTGGCTGTCTTTCTCTCCTGTCCTCTTTTACAGTATTCCAAATCCTTACATTTGTGTGCTGTGTTTATTATTAATCAGTGAAATCAACTTAAGCCCCTTGCTCAGAAAGATGAATAGATATCAGGAGAACATATGAAGGGGTATTAAAAATCCAACACTACTTTTGCATGAACAATGTACCTGGATTTTTAGTCAATTCCAGATTGGAGGGTAGTCTGGAGACCATGTGGCATCCAGCAGCTATGAGGATGGATCTCCATGTGTCCTGAACGCCCTCGAGGTCGGACACCATACACATGCTCATACCAGCAAGAATGGAGCGATTTGGTTGGCTATAAGTGGAAAAAAAAGGCCAAACAATGTCATAACATGGAGTACTTACACAGATGTTTAGCGCTCATCCAAACTTTAAAACCACTTCCGGGCACTAACAAACAAGCCCTTTTATATATTATCTGAGATTCCAACTTCACAACTTACATTTCCATCAGTGCATTTTCTTCCAGGCTCTCGCCAGCGGGCAGGAGGTAGCTCCTGTAGTTCTCCAATTTCCCCTACAGAGACAAAGGAAACAGCTTAAGAATCAGTTGAAAATTGATTTTAAAAAAAACCTACTTTACAAAAAATCCTATTTCAAACCTCTGTGAGCATCCAAACGAAAACTCACATATGTTTTTGTGTAAACATTGTAAACTGAACAGTTTAATCACTGTTGAGGTAATCTTAAAAAAACAACATGGTTTCATCTGAAGTTTTAAAACTTCACATTCAAGGGCTAACAGCTTGGGACAGGATCAAGATACTTTGGAGGTGTAAAATGGAGATTTGGAGACTCAGTTTATTATGGCAAAAGTAGCAGTGATGGGGCAATATTATTAGGAGACGGGTTTCGGTGGCGTCAAAATAATTGCCTGGAGGAATGGATAATTGTCCCTGAACGTCACTGGCAGCTACACTACATGTACAGGGAAAAGAAGACCCTAATTCAACCACAATTTATAGGAAAACTGCAGATTTCTTAATTAAGTATTATATATCTCCAGAAAGGCCTAAAATGTCTTCTTTTAAATGACACCTTGATCATGTGTTCAATGTCACGGTTGAACAAGTAACAATACATTGTTGACCAGCAGGTGACATTTGCACTCTGACACATTCAAAAGTGCTTGCTTGTGTTGGCCAAAGCACATTCAAATGTGCATCATCTACTGTACAGTTAAATTTATCACAGTGCAAATTTCACCTGCTGGTCAACAATGCATGTTACTCATTCAACCGTGACACTGTCAACCAATGACATTAAGGTGTCATTGGAAAGAAATTATTCAGGCCTTTTGAGACATATTAATGCTTAATTAAGAAATCTGCAGTTTTCCTATAAATTATGGTTGAATTAGGGTCTCCTATATTTTGATACACCCTGTACACTGGTGAATTCAGGCAAAAACAGACTGGTTTTGGTGGAAGTACAGTAATCAATAGATAATAAAGGCTCTACATCTTTGCTATCCAGGAACATTTTCATCTCATTCCTTGTCCAAACCCAGGGCTGTATCTAACTGTCCTCAATATAATTTTTGTTCCAGTCAATCTATTTTCACCATTTCCCTTTGCTTTATAAGCATGGTTGCCTCCTGCAAATTAAGATTTTTGCAATTCTAACTTTTCTTCGTTAACATCTCGGCAATGCTTTCTCAGCATCCCTCTTTTGCTCTTATAACCTCTATCCCACTGCAATGTGTAATTCACTCCCCCGCACCTGCCACACTACTGCCCAAACCTATTAAATTCCACTGCCTTCCCGTACCGATTTACAGCAGTCTCGTAGCCAGAGGTGGGAGATGCAGGGAATGCCGGCAGCCAGGGCTTGGAAGTATTTCTTGGTGCGGCAGTAGGTGTTGGCTATCAGCAGTACTTTCATCTTGGTAATCTGATGAAAGAGTTTGGGCAAAAATCTGTGATGAGCAAGTACCACTGGTGAATTGCAAAGGAACAAGAAATGGGTGTCTGTTACATCATCTTTTTTAGGACATTAACAGCACTATAAATGTTCAATGAGGCTCAAAGGGAAATTACGCTCTCTGTAAAAAGCAAACGAAAGAAACCTCAAAAAACAACACAAAACAAAGACAGACATGGAAAAACAATTCACAGAAAAACAGAACAGCCATTGAGTCAAAAATAAAAAGCAAGATCATTCAGTCCATCTGTTGACTTTGTAAGTACAACTTAATCCCAACGCTATAAGCACTGACAACATAAAAGAAAGTTGCTTTAAGTCTATTTTTTCAGGTTTTACTGGACTGACACTCTATGGGGGCTAGCTTGGATATCTGGGTGCCAGAATTAGAGACACCCCTTTTATTAGGGGTTAGGTTTACTGACCTGTGACTTGTTGAAGTCAGACAAAACCAGCCCTCCTCCAGACTGGATCTGTTGAACGGCATAGGCACGGTCAAAGGGCACCATCTCCATCTCATCTACGGCACAGAGAAAAATGCAACTTGAAATCCAAGAGTTGTGCTAGCAAACACTGAACATACTTCTTTTACTGTTTCATTATATACACAAACAAGCACATGCAACTAACGCTGAAACTTAGTGAGTAGGGGGAAGCGTACCAGAGTTGTAGTCGAAACCATCGTAAGACCATACACAAGACCATTCAAAAGCCCAGACATAAGTAACAGGGTGAACAATGACAAAGGAGTGCTGTTATTGCAGCTTATTTGAACAGCTATTGATTTGAATTCAGGTGACAGGTTTTGTGATGGTCTTAAAGTGGTCTTGACGACAACACTGACAATGTCTCCCAGTGACAATGCAAATATGGAATTGATTTTGTATGCCTGTCACTTCCAGAGATAAAATGGATGAATGACAGTGTTGCACTCTTACTATCATGTTCTTCTCCGCTGCTTTCGTCCGATGACGACATCTGCTTGGGGGGCTTCTTGACCTCGCCGTGAGTCACCAGGAAGGCGTGGTTACGGAACAGTGTAGCTTGCCTAGGCAGGGGGCCCATGTGGACAGCCATGGGATGGGCTTCCTCTGTCTGTGGACTCTGCTTTGGTTGCTGGCGCTTGCGCGGTGAGCGACGGGGGCTAATGGTGAGCTCAGGGCTCGGTGTGAGAACACCTGTTTACAAAAACAATTAACAGAAAATACCAACAAATGAGCTCCTGGTGGGGGGGGTTCAAGTTTCCTCACAGTCTAGAAGCAGACATTCATCTCATGAAGAAAAGGCTCTTCTCGTGGAAAATGTTAGACAATCCCTCTATGTTTGCATCTGCAATACTGATGACCTCTTTTTAGAGGTGTGTCCAGTGACAGGTGATTATTCCTTGCTCTGCTCTGTCCTCCAAATCACTTCAATATTGACTTTTAATGGCTGACCAGTGCTTTGCTACAGTAGTAGTACACACTCCAAGGAATGCCAAGCTAATTCTTTGACATGCAAATGGCATCTCTCCATTCACCATTTTGGAAATCTTCGCTGATAAGGTAGGGCATCCTCAACATCCCTTTGTGTGGCAGGTATTGGCAATATGGCTGACTAGCTTACATTCCACCTATAGAGTGAGTGCCACAGCTAGTCTAGTGGCATGTAAGGGCCGGCGACCATTTAGACCCGGTTTGAAAAGGGCCCCCCGGTAAGCTCGCCCGGTTGCAAAAACCCCTTTCATACCGGCCTGGCTACTGGCCTGGGATACTGGACTGGTTGTTGATCTCGAACTTCTTCATCCTGGGGTCTATTGTTTGCAAGTACTGGTACATGTAATCTATCCCAGAAGGAACCTGCTTGTGGTTTTTAATCCTTAAGCTCTATACAATGTTTACACTAATCCGCTTAGACCCCTATACATCTGTGCAAGCATGTTGGGGGAAGCCTTTCATCAGGGACTTTGAAATGCCAATGTGCAGACAGGCCTTATACCGGCCTGGAGTAGGCTGAATACCGGGCAGGCATTATACCGGGTGGGCTACCGGGGGGCCCTTTTCAAACCGGGTCTAAATGGTCGCCGTCCCTAAGAGAACTGAGAATATTTTTTTCTCATGGAGAAGGTTCGGGTCTATAACATTACAAACCTTGTGCAGCTGCTCTGCCTCTCTTCCTTGGGGAAGGTGTGTCTTTCTTTGGCTGTTCCTCCGAGGGCACCAGCTTCCTTTTAACCCCCTGCCGCAACGGTGTTGTCTTCTGCGGTGGTCTGGGCGTTTGCTGACGTGGTTTTTCCACCCTGGCACCGCCACTTGGGCTCTCAAGGAGACAACTGCGAAGCCTAGTTCGTTTGCTGTACACCACGTTGTCTGGGAGCAGAGTAGATGGTTTGGAAATGCATGACAGAGGAGTTTAATATGTGCTCTCTGTTAGACAAAAACTTCAAGTGAATAAATACTTCAAGCCAGTGGCGTAGCCACGAGGGGGCCCCCCTCCCCCATAAGATGCAGGTGCCCCTTTGTGCCCCCCACTAGTAAAATCCTACCTATGGCACTGCTTCAAAAAATTGAACCTGAAAAGAAAAAGTCAAAAATCTACTCGTTCAACTATAACTTCAACTTACAAGTTACACCAATGTCTGCATAGTCTTATATAACGGGTTTTGCCCTTACCCAATGTAAATATTCATAAACACTGTATGCTCAGTGCTTGTCCGAGAGCTTGCGAAAAAATTCACAAGCTTACTCGGGCGGGACATCTTGAAATAGTTCGCGGTACCAGCTGCTTCACCTGACAAGGACCGGCCAGCCGACCCAGCAAGCTCGGTGGTCGCGTGGTTAAGACATCTGCACAAGTAAGCAGGAGGTCGTGGGTTCGAGTCCCACCCGAGTAACCTTGTGAATTTTTTCGCAAGCTCCCGGACAAGCATTGAGCATACAGCGTTTATCAATATATACATTGGGTAAGGGCAAATCCCGTTATGTAAATTAACATCTCCCCAACGCAAAATACATCTTGCATAGTCTTGATTGCATGACCAGTTCTGTGGTCGAGTTCATCAGAATCCCTTTACAATGTCTTTGACGAGACTAGTGATGAGCAGTGGGGTGAACAATGACAAAGACATGCTGTCTTCACATTTCATTTTAGCAGCTTGGGACAGACCTGCAGGGAATTGTGATGAATTCAAGTACAAAACAGTACAGAGCTTGAAATCCTGGACTAGGTGAAAACTACTTTCTACGCATTTACTTTCGGTACACTGTTTCATTCAAATGCTGCAATGAAAAGCCAATCAACGTAGGGCATATTCAATCAGCAACAACTTGTTAACCACTGGTTGATACTGCCTGGTGCCCTGTATATATTTCATGTATAGGTTACCAGTCAAAATCGACTATTGGCTGACAATTTGTTGCTGATCGAACATGCCAATGAGTGTAAATGTTAAGAATTACGAAACCCAAATTGTACCGAGGCTGATGACGTTGCTGCCACTGGTATTGCTACTACCACTAGTGCTGCTGACCAGACTAGCTGCCTGGTCTTTGGTCAGGATCACATGATGCCTCTCATATCTGCAGACAATTGTAAGAAACAAGATATGCTGTGAACAAAAAAAAATAGTCCAGGGAGATAGAGCAATGACGAAGTAGACGATACAAAATCTTATTTGATTTGACCTAGATAGCAATGGAAATTCTTAAAGCGTTACCTTCGATTTCAGGAACCCAACATCAAACGACAATCTCTTTCCAGACTCTCTGGGGGACAGGGGCGAGTATGTTCAAGAGCTTGACAACTCACAGACCAAGGTAAGCTTGGAGGAATTCAATAGCTCCCAACAAAATGGGAGGGAATGAAAATAATGCGATGGATATACATGTAAATCTACAGGGCGTGAATATGATGTGAACCATAAAGAGTCGAACAATTTTACTGACGAGACAATAACCACTTTACCTGGATGTTTCGTGGGAGTCTGTCTGCTCAATGACATAGCCACTGGTATTTCTATCCACATCTTGGTAATATCCAACAACCAAACCTACAGAACACAAAGACATCACCGATGATGCGTATCAGACAAGACTTTAATATCCCCAAACAACAGCATAAAGCACTGTGTTCACAGATGTCAACTCTGCACACACAGATGCGATACCAGTCAAACGCCGGGGCCATGAACACAAACTCTACAGATCCCGTACAAGAAGTTGTGGGCACCTAGTAAAGATCTCTGGTCATATCACAGTTGTGCCACAAAATCAGTCTTGAAAATGCAGAAGCATATCATAACAATAATGAATAATATATAGGAATAGGTTAGGTGGATGATTGGACCACGATACAGTGATCTTTTCCCATTGGTCAACAGTCTATAGAGTGGTCAAGTACCTGCATAGTGGTAGCCATCAACATCCTTGGCCATGACGCTCTGGCCTCGGCTAAGCCATTCCTTAATGATGATATCACGTTCGTTCACAGCGCGGCGATCCCCGTCGTCAAATTCTATCATGTACCTAATTAGATCAAGGTGCTTTGCCTGTGAATCACGAATCAAATCAAGGCACCTTTCCAAACAGATGCTGTCACTAGGTTCTTGAATGAAAGTATAAACAGTCTAATGAAAAGGAAATGAAGACTTACTTCACTTTTAAATTGGGGTGGGATTTGACAGGTTGTGATCGTACGGGAGAAGAAAGGATAAACGTATTCTACACCCTTATCAGCCAACACTTTATTATGTATTAAAGACTTTACTAAATTGTTTAAATTTCGAAACCCAGTCATGACCCAGAGATGTCAAAAGTTCTAAATATCAAGTCATTCATAGGTGACTGCGCGCTCTAAGTTCCCACATTTCTTCAGCTTTAGACAAAAAAGTGATAAGGCTTCACAACTCATTAAAAAAATATTAAGCTTTTGCTAGTTAACAGGCCAGTGACGTAGCAGAGGCCCCTTTAGACCATGGCAAGACCCCACAAGACTTCTTGTCTGAAATCAAGCCACAGACAATTCAAATCACCTACAATGAAGAACATTCCTTTATCACTGTTTAACCTATTCCTTGTCATTGGTAGTGTGAATGGTCTTATTAACTGAAACACCAGCTTTTAGCCTTCATCTTCCAATTATCTCTCACCTCAGATATTTATCCTGGCAAAGAATGGTGCCCGGATACCAGAAGCCATCTAGCCATTTGGTGTAGACCTTTGTACCAGGCAGCAGTGAGGAACCCTCCCCTTCAGCAACTGGTAGAGTCTCACCTGCTGGAGGCTCCAACAGTGTGTCCCGGGGAAGGTAGGAAGAGGATTCAGAAGTCACTGGTTTAGTCGACTGCTCTGGAAGGGTTGATGTTCTCCTTTGGGTAGTGGGTGACAATGTTTTCTTTTGAGTAATACTTTTCCCTGGTAAAAAAAATGTGAACAGTTTCATGAAAATTTTAACTTAAATTTTATCTTTAATAGTGTAATTCCCTCTCTGGAAAATTCAAAATGTACTGAAAGATTTAGTGAGGAATGTTTGAATAACAAAATGTCTTAGTGTTGCACCTTTGCTTCTTGATGACCTTGAAGTGCGTCTTTCCAAATCTGATGATATCCTAAGTTCCTCTGGTATGTGCTCTTTCTCTTCTGTACCCAGCTGTATATCTTCTTTATTTGGTGGACTCGTGACAGGCTCCCTTCTTGTTCCTCTTCTCTGACACTCTAACCTGGGCTGCTCCTGAGAAGAAAGCTCAGCTGAGGGAGTCCTTGGCGTTGATTTCTTAGATCCATCAGGGGATGCTTTGCCAGTCCCTGCAGCTGCCACTGCAGGGCCTTGGTCCTTATCCCTTGGCCTCCTTGCTGATTTCTTGTCTTTCTCAGCAGATGCCAGAGATACTGATCTAGTGATTGGGACTGTTTCTATCTCAGGTGTAGAGCGAGTCCTTGGCACTGGCCTTCTGTTGACAGTATCTCTTTCGGATTGAGTTGACCCTACTCTTGAAGATCTTCTTACGGGTGAAGAAGATGCAGGATGCGGTGATGAGGAGGAGCCAGATGTTCTGTCTCTTGTTCGCCTTCGTGATAATTTACTTTCAGGACTCCTTTTGGGAGATCGATCCTCTCTAGTTGTTTCCTTTGCGGGAGCACTTTCCTGTGAGAGCTGCACTAGTTTGACAACCTCTGTTGCAGATATATTTGGCTCATGGGTTACACCTTCTTGTGGACTCCTGACCTCTTCAGAAACTGGTAAGGACATCCTCTCGGCCAAACCACTGCCTTGCTGTTGATCTACCTTCCGTCTCGGAGTCTGATGTGGCCTCTGAAAGACAACATCAGGATCTAGATTTGTCCTGTGACGGGTCTCGTCACTGCTGCCAGATGAACTCCTAATCAGGGAAGCTGGCTTATTTGATTCCCTAGTGAAAGACACCCTTCTGGGAAGTGAAGGGCCAGCAGCCCCTGGGCTTAACAATTCACCGCCGGCCTTTTTCTCATTGCCAGGGCTTTTGTCGGAACCGGGGGAGCTCACACTCTTATTCAGGCTGGGGGTACTCTTGTCTGAGCCAGGAGAGCTGACGGTTTGCTTACTGAGAGAGCTGCCAGTGCGCGAGATGCTGGAGAAGCTGCTGTGCTTGGACAGCGTCCCACCGCTGCCACTAAGGGTCCTGACAAGACTCGGGGAGGAGCCAGATGTCTTGGAGTACATCGAGCTGACGTCAGCCAGTGATCCTGAGGTCAGGGAGCTGATAGAACGAGACGGAGAAGGAAAATCCACGCTATCCTCATCTTCAATTGTTTCAACAACAGGCTCCACTTGTTCCTACATGAAAATGAGAAAAGAAAGACGAATTCAGTTTTTATCATAACTTTTAACAGTAAATGCCTAAGAGAGTACAAGAATGCACCCGTAGCATTTACTGAGCAACAGAGCATAGATCTAAGCATCACATCTGCTCAGGTTGACCTACCCGCGTCTCCCATGTCTTCACCACTTTGCCGTCCACAATAATCTTCTCAACGACAACCCGAAAAACCACAGTTTGCCGGACAACGTGCCGGTGGGAAAGGGGTGGATCACCAGCAGTTGACTCACCAGCTGCCTGCAGTGAACACCAAAGAAGTTCAACAGAGCCATCAATTATTAGAAACACTTCACAAAAACTCCAGCTGCTCCTCCCCGATGTGGATTACCAAGTTAAGTACTCGCTTTGGTCTTACTGACATGACATAACTGAGGTAATTTCTCTAACACCTGCTCAAACATGTGGCCAGTGGTCAGATTCAAACCTCTGATTCTGAAACCACAAGTCACAAACCTTCACATAATATCTACACTTCCCATTTGGGGAACCTCTCCAAAGTCAGGAATGTTCCTTAGCCGTTGGACAGTTCCCACACTGAAAACAACAACATTCCATTGGAACATTCACACATCAGCAGGAATATTCCACCCTGTGCATAAATACCGTTCTGAGGCAGTGTTCCACAATGAGAACAAGGAGTTTGAAATAGAACACTCCTACCATTCTGATTTATGAGGCCTCCCTAGGCTCTTTGTATTATACAGACATTCAATCAGAGCTTTTACTATCCAATGCTGATTCTGACTTTACCAATAACATTTCAGAAATGCATTCTTCCTCTTGAACCAAATTTTGCAAGCATTTCCCAAAATTGACATTAAATACTCTTTAATGATCTTTTACCGGTTTGTCTTGTTTCTGAGATGATTTTTTGCGTGGTGACCTCCTGAACTTGACCCCTGCCTTCTCCCTGGGTTGATCTGGCTGGAAATCTGGAGACGAATCATCCTGCTGGGCCTGTAGGATCTGTTGTGAGGCCAGCCTTGGCCGGCCAATCCCTGCTCGTTTTCCCCGTGCCAAGGATGTTTTCATGACAGATGGCGATTTTGTCTCAGGGAGTGCGCCCTCAAGCCTAGATGCTTTCAAGACATCCTCTACAGGTGGAGTCTTCTCCTGTGCTGGAGGAAAGGCATCCTTCTCTTTGTCCTTCTTCTGTCTTTTTGGCGTCTCGTGAGGCACCGACGCCGTAGCCGTTGCACTCGTTATGGTTGCTGGTTCTGTGGGTACGTCTCTTACAGGTCGTACTTTGTGCCCCGGCGTTGGAGCACTTCTATACCTAAACAGAGACCCCTGTTGCCTAGGACTAGCTTCTGTCGGTGGCTTCGACCCACTGGTGCGGGAGTTCCTTTTCATCGGGGAGGGAGTCTTGTTGGACTGCGAGTCAGAGAAGTCGTATGGGTCCCTCTGGCCAGGAGGCTTCTCTCTCAGCTCTCCCCGCTCAGCTTCTTCAAACCTCGTCTTCTTGGCCATTCCTCTTCTCGACCTCTGCTCTTCCTGCAGCTTCCTCTTTTGACCACTTCTTGTCAACCTGCTGCTCAGTGCTGGCTTCTCTGACTTCTCCTGTTTTCTCTTTTCTGGTGTCCTTTCTCCAGCCTTCTTTCTCTCCTCTTCAAGTTGATTTTCTGGCTCAGCCATTTGTCTCTGGCCTTTTTTGTCCCGACCTGTTTCCTCCCCCAGTTCCTGTTGCTCTGTTGTGGCTTCAACTTCGTCCTCCTGGTAACAGACAGGAATAGTCTCCTCATCCTCCTCTTCTCCCTGGGTCTGCTTTGGTGGCTTATACGGTACATGTTCTGTGGGTTGCCGGCTTGACGTGTGAGGCCGATCTTGAGACAAGGCAAAAGGATCGTCACTGCAAAAGTACAAACAAATTTACTTTTGTTTTAACCAACTGATATTTAGTTGGGATTTGTCAAGCATCAATTAAACCTACGAAAATAAACAGCCCAAGTCAGCCAAAGTCTGTCCCACCCCAACATGGCCTATCAGGCTGGTACTTCTCCAGTTCTCCAGGCACATATCGACTTACAATATATCTATTCCCACGAGGAGGTGAAGAGGCTTGCCTAAAGCCCCAACCTATGGAAGGTAGCTGGATTTGAACCGCTCATCCCTCTGGTCACAGGTCAAAGACTTGACCACTAAAGCACACTTCCCAAACACATCCCATACAGCAAATGTTTCAGGCTAACATAAGGACTAAGTTGATTGTTATCAACAGAAAGTAGCTTCATACTTTTTCGACGTATGTTTAGGAAAGTTTTACGTCATCTCCATACCTTTCATTGTATTTTGCTCTTCCACTCCAGGATTTTTGACCTTTGACCTTTGCCTGGCCTGCTGCCATCTTAGTTTCCCTCACCTTGGAGAAGACTGACGTGGATTTTTTAGCGGGGCTTTCATGAGCTGCTTTTATAAGCTGTGCAGCATCCGAAGGTCCTGAGAAGAAAAACGAAACCAAGCCACAAGAAAGACTTATCAGAAACTGTTCTTGATGACAAGCATTTGAGCCTTACTTGTAATTAATGCAATAATCACCGGCAATTGACTTCATGTATTCTGACAGGGAACGTTACTCTTTTGCAATCTGCTGAGGCTCAAATAATTGATTGAGATGATTAAAATATGTGTTAGGACTCTGAGCTCCATTCTGTACACCTGCTTGCATTCTGAACATCTGTACACATGCTTGCTTGCCATTACTTCTGTGTGGAAGAAAACAAAATCTGATCTTGTCACTTACGTTCAAGCTGAAAGACAGGTGTTTCAGTGCTGGTCTGAGTATCTGGCTCCTTCTCTGCACCAAGAGTCAGGGTGCTTGATAGTACCAACTTCGGAGCTTCATCCTTCTGTAAACAATAAAGATCATCAAAAAGTGGTGACTAAACAAAACAATAACTAAGCATGATTCCTGGCTTACAACATTTCTATTTTCATGATTTTCAATACTGGTAATCTGTAGGGCATGAAAGTAAAAATCCTGAAAAACTGGGAGGGTATCATGGGAGAGCGGCATTCACAGGACACAATTTGTTGACTCAATCAAAAAAGGGCCACATCTACAGACCTTTTAGTCAGATTAAATCAAATCAGACCATCTTTCAAGAGATCTTAAACAAAAAAATAAGAGGACGACACAGTATAAAATTCCTACAGATACATGGATTCATTGATACGTTATGCTGGTTCAGCAGACGTTCACGACAATGGCAATTATTTCAGTTGGGTTTTGAATTGTTTTGTCTGTAGTGATGCAATCACATGATTTTGTAATATTGGTGAACTGGGTATAAAATTTTTATATAAAGACGAAATATTCTGTTAGAAGGAATTTTGTTTTCCTTAATTTTGGGGGCACATTTTCCGACCTGACTTTTTGGTCATTTCTAAAAGCGAAATCTCTAAGGGCACCAGACTGCACCTGAATAATGGTTGATATGGCAGTTGAGTGATTTATTTTACAAGGCTGAAAAGGGCAAACATAATAGTTAACCCCTTCGCGCCGGGAGACGGTAAGAGCCGCCGTAAAAATTGAGATTCTCAGCCCGCTTTTCAGCTATTATTATCTCCCAACGCTCAAGCGAACACGGTGAAAGAAGGCAGACCCTGGCTCTTGTATATATGGTGATTGGCCTTTGTGTGTAGCCCAGAAATGAAAAGACCGAATTTGCATCATAATCATCACCTTCACAATAGTCCCCACTTTGAAAAGAGGCAACGGGAATGTGGAAGCGTGAGTAGAGCCGCATGCCATCGTACAATGGGCTTTGTCACTGTAATTCAAAGCGTGCAAAGCACGCAGGGCCACGAACTGAGAATTTGCGGTTTAGCAGGTGGCTTTTGTGGCCAAGCGAGGCTGGAATTCTTGGCGTCGGCTTTCGGAAAAAAATCCCGTCGTCAAGGGGTTAAATAAAAGAGAAAGTCTTCAGTAGGTAGGAATTACTTCTACATGAATAGTTTTTTTCTATCAAGTTCTTCTGGCATTTCTTCACAAGAAATCTCCAGGCCAATGGACCATACCTGAGCAGCGGTTGATGTGGCAGTCGTTTCCTGACCCTTCTGCCTACTAGGGCTTTCCTCCATGATAGGAGTGCTGTGTCTAATCGACTCACGGGATGACGATCCTTCCTTCTGGCGATGAGCCAACGAGGGTAGGGTCACGTTCCCAGCCGGTCTGAACCCGGCCTCCCTGGGAAGACTCAGGTGAAAGTCGATGCCTGCATTTGCAGAGATCAAGAGATTTTGATTTCAATGTAAACCTGATATCTCTCCCACTTACAGTCTTTGCTGGTACAAAAAAACATAACACTAACACCCACACCTGTTTTGTGCCTGTCTGGTTCATAAACTGACTCCACACGCTTAACATGATCATAACCACAATGGTGTAGTCAAGTGACACATTTCCACAGGTCCATTGCAAGCTTACCAAAAGTAATTCAGATCCAGCCAGAAGTCTTGCCATCAACTATTCAATTCAACTCGGGCCGAACACTCCTTTGTTCTTGTTCACATCCATTATTTGACACTAGACTTGTGAATGACTTCAATTTACCTAGGACCAGACTTTGTGACGGACTCTGCCACAAGACTGACAGAAGAGTAATTTGCCATCCAGTATTAGGAGCCATTATTGTGGTGACACAATTCTCATGCACAGGTAGTACACATGCATTACATGTCTCTTTGACTAACAAAGTGATATGAATTGCAGAAGCTTCAAGCTTAAGAATGCGTGAGTGATGTGTTGATGTACCCCAGTTATGGCGTCTCCTCCAATGAGTCAATACAATACTTGACAAACTCAGTTGGCAAACCATCACTGCTTATTAAAGAGTTATAGGTTATTAACAAAAGGCTTATTTAATCCTCACACACTGAGGACTACTTCTTCACAGAAGTCTGCACTTTGAGGAAACAGGCCAGGTGGAATACAAATATCCAACTTACTGGACGATTCTGCTGGGTCTGCACTCTGTGATGCAATGCCCGGTGTGGCTAGGCTGACACTGTGCTTGGGATTATCGGTGGCTTGAGCCTCTGTCAGTGACTGAGGACCCTTACCCTTAGCTTGAGAAGTTCTCGTACCTCCTCTTTTAACAGGAGCTGCATCTGTTCCTATATCGAAAAGATCAACATCTTTGTTGAAAGTTTTTTGACAAAAATGGCCTTTTTGCCAGTCAAAACAAAATTTATGAAATGTTAGTCATAAATACATTCCTCTGTTAATCACTTGCTGCTAGTCCAGTGGTCTCTAGCATAAACAGGGATGAAGTCAAGACCAGTCAGAAGACAAGACACAAGAGCAGTCACAAGGTCAGTCACAAGGCCAGGCACAAGACCAGGCACAAGACCAGACACGAGATCAGTCACATGACCAGACACAAGACCAGCCACGCGATCTGACACAAGGCCAGCCACAAATCTCGAGTAACTGGATCAACAAAACAAAAACTGCTGTTGCTGCAGTTCATTTGAATAGCTTATGGTTTTAATTCAGCCTGGAGGTCAAGGATGGTTTGTGTTGCTCTTGCAATGGTGTTGAGGGGTTTTAACTGCAACACAGAGAATACACAGATGCATTTACCTCTCCTTTCCTGCGGCAATTCCTTGTCACCATCCCCTGTTTTCTTGCCATCTGAGGATGCAGTTGTGGATGAGGAGGTTACGTCAGTGTAGCTCATCAGGGTGTGCGCATCTGCTGTTGTTCCATTGGCAGCTGTGATTGGTACCACTGCCTCCTGATGACCAGGTACTGAGGAGGGCAGTGCAGGGGGACGTGTTGGGGGGTGCATTGAAGGATGTTGCGCTGCAGCAATAAACAATAACTATTTCAGCTATCTTGGTGAATACCTTTCGACATCTCATCACATTACATGCATTTCAAAGTGGCATATTTCAATTATGAAAACAAATCAGCAGGTGCAATTTGCTTGAAAAGAGCTAGCCAACTGGCGCTTACAAACCTATTCTGTGAATGCACTTGAGGCAAGCAACAATTTTCTGCTATTGGGTCATGTGACTTCACGGTTTCCGCCAGACATATCACATTGCAGTAGGCAAGCCATTTGGTCAGCAACCCCACACAATAAAGTTTGGGGCTTACAATAATGTTAAAAAAAACAGGAACTATTTCTTCAGATTTAATGGTAACCACCTGTGTCATGTATGCTTGTTGTTATCCTGCTGATCCGGGACTAGGATCTGGCTTCGCATTATTGCCATTCTACAAAGCTTTAAAGGTTTGCCTGCTTCATAACTATTGTGCGTGGTGTTGCAGTCTTTGCCTATGGCAATGACAGATGTATGTCAGGTCAGTGGGGCACGCTACAGGAAGCACAATTTGTTTGCTTTCACTGTTAAGCAGCAAGATAAAATTGGCCCGAGTTTTAAAAATCCACCTGCCAGGCACGGTTTTACCTATGTTACCCCTTCCTTTTCCGGTTTCCTCTTCCACAGCTTCAGGCTCGGTCTCCGTCTGAGTGGCCGTGTAGTGCAGCATCCAATCACTGGACGAACCACCTCTGTCCGTTTGCTTGTCCTCCTCTCTCTCCTCCTGCCTGTCCTCTGAAGACCATGATGAGGACGTTTTGCTTGCCTTTGGTTGGCTAGCCTCTCTTTCAGATAAAACCTCTTCCAACCCCCGTTCTGTTGACCTCCCCGGCGGGTCTTGGTGGGGTTGGGAGGTGGCTAACGGGGTGGGTGCAGGCTTGCCGGGCAATGGTGGAGGTTTCCCTTGGTCAGATTTGGAAACTGGCGTTGGAATTGCTGGTATTTCTCTTGGCAGCTGTGGAGGCAAATCAACAGCCATAAATCAGAAAAAAGAACGAGGACATTTGCAGAGGAGAAAAGAAACATGAATATACATTCACCCCATCATCCTCATAAATATTCATTCACTGCATAAAGTATCTCGGTACCAAGGTTACACATACACTACAAATAGATGAAAAGTCTGAATAACTTCAACGGGGCCAAAACCCATCACCTAGGTCAGAATTTACAGACAGAATTTGTGGGCAGTTACAATAAGCACAGACCTTTTCAGTCAGCAAATAAAGGGTCAGTCGGCAAAAAAAACCGAAATTGACGTCATGAATTATTGACGTACATCTACCACTCAGCAAATTGACTCTGGCACACCCCCCCCAAAGAAAAATGCCTTCACTACGCTGCTGACCACGTACCACAAAATATTGAATCTCATGGTATTTCACTTGAAATGGGATTAAGTCTAAGAAGGGGAAGAAGTATTCTGGTATTAAAGGAGTCCCATAATAATGACATAAAAGGGAAGACATCTGAAGAATACTAGCGTTGGGCCCGTCATGAGTCATGAAGGGGACTTGGTCGAGAGGAGGTAAAAAATTGCCTTGAGCAGGGAAGGTACAGGGTAAGAGGAAAAACAAAGAGGGGTCTACGAAAAATGAAGCTCTCTTGTCTTGGTGAATCAGGATTAGGATGCCCTATTCTATACCTGGCTGAGAAACCTCTGTGATGGCGGGCCCTCCTCTTTTCCACTTTTCCCTTCAAGGGCGCTTGCAGAGCGGGGCTTCTCAGCAACCTTGTCCCTCTCTGGTTTCCCCCAGCTTGCATCTGATTTAGATTGAGTGGATGGAGGACGGCTCCTTGAGACCCCCTCGGACGTTGTTGATGTTGTCTGCTGACTACTTGGTTGCCATGCCTACAGGGAGAAAAGTTGAAACTAGACTTCAAACATCATTTTTGAAGCATATTTTCAATCCCTTAACAGGAGCGTAAGCAAAAGTTCATCCAACGCACGTCTGTGTTCATGTTGATGCTGGCTGACCATTCCAATGGAACCTGTTCAAGTGGCCTCCAGTGGCCTATCAATCACAGGGGCTCTCTAAACAGACCAGTTGGTGTTTAATGAAATACAGGAAGAGGAGTTTTATTGCAGACATATTCAAAAATGTCACTTCTGTAGAGAAAAAAGCTCAACAAGGACAGGAGACAATCTTTGAGACGGAGAGACCCTTTGACCCATCTCTTGAGTAAGGTCTCTGAAATAAACGCATACAAAATCCCAAAATGATGTTGGGGTGTGATTACTGGTTACATGGTGTGCTGGTTTTATGGCTTTTGACTAGTAATCCCCACAAAGATATTGACAAATGAGAGAAAGCAATAACACAGAGCTGGGTAACTGACCTGGCACAGCATTGCATGAGTATTGGGTTTGACAATCCTGCTCCAGTCAATATCTCTGTTCATCTTTATAAGTTTGTATTAACACATTTGGTTTCCATATGTGGCTTGCTTGTGCCCAAACCTTTTCGGCTTTACAGCTGATATCCAAACTACCTAACCCCCTAGGATGCATGTAACACCATATTGAAATCGGAGGACTTGAGACTGTTAGGGCTAAAAGATCACCACAAGAAACCCCAGGACAAGCACGCAACTTGGACTTTGACCAAAAACAAGGAAATTCCAATCTTTACAATGGCAATCTTTTCAATGACATGAGAAGAGCCAATGATTTTCCGCAATCACGGAAAACGGACGGAATTTGTGGAATCAACACTTTGAAACAGAATCCATTGCTTGAAATGGAAAATTTCCCTCTAAGAATGGCTTAAAAAGTGAAGAAAATTTTCTGCAAATGCTTACCAAACCCTTTTAAAACTTTCTCACTATACCTGGAATGATTCCATTTGCTGCCCCCTCCACTGTGCCGAGATTCTCCCAAGGAATTCAGAGGACTGCTCTGATGAGGATGAGGACGTTGTCTTCTGGCTACTGGACTTACTGCTGCTGCGAGACAACACAGCCTGGTCTTCCTTGTTCAGAGCTTGCTGCCACTCAGGGATCTGTGTGGAGTGGTTAATTCAAATTGCCATACATCCTACATATTCATGATTGAGAGCCAAACTGTCACTGGTCCAATTCATCATCATGTGCCAATTGCGAGGATCTGTGCCCAAGTCAAATACGCACTAGTTCAGTCCAGTTCATCAAATCGTCACACAGGTGAAGTACCCATACATGAGCATTGACGGAGCTATGCTTAATATGCATATTACACCTGAACGGACTTTGGTACACGTACATGCTGCCTTTCCCTTTTCTAGATATTTTCATATTACAAGACGCAGGCAATGCCTTCTTATAAACTACAATGGAAGAAGAATAAGAAAGACCGACCCCATATTCATCATCGTAGTCGCCTGTACTCTTTGGTCTTTTTGCAGGATGCGTTGTCGTGCCAACATTCTCAGCATCCGGAATGCTAAGCTCCATCGGTTCTTCCTCTGTACAGAAACAAATGCAAATATACAAAAGTACTTGAGTTGAAAAATAACACGTCCCTGCAAGCTACATATGTGATTGGAACAAAGCCAAAATGTAGGTCCCTCGAGTCCTATCCGGTTCGTAAGTGACTTCATCACACACACAGATGCGCCACTGATTGCAGGCTACCATTGAACAAGCACTACAGTCGTGCGTAAAATTCCATTTCCATGGTTCCATGTAACTGTATGTGCAGTGGCCATGGTTTAAACTGAAGTGATGTCACACTTTCTTACAAACCGGATAATACACCAGTTTGGAACAGTGATTCCTCATTTCCTCTACGGACCACTGGATCACCGTGGAGCCGTCATGGGATGCTAACGGCTCATAACTCCCTGGGATGGAGAGTGGGGTTGATTTCTGAAAGGAGGTCAGGCTGCGTCTCACATGGGGTTCCACAGCTACAGCTATGCCTATTTAATTGTACACAATTTGCCAAACACAAGGCCATCAGAGGTCAGTTCAAGGTCCCCCAAAAAAAGAAAAAAGAAATAGACAGATAGAAAAGGCGGCCGAGAGAAAAAGCAAGGAGTGTCAAGTTCAAAGTGAAAGATTCACACTGGGCTTGAACATGGATGTGTTGTAGGCCATCTGGTAAACAGGATGGTCTGGAGCAAAGCAGTATGCCAAAAGAAGGGCAACATGTGCCCTAATATTTGAAATCTATCGTCAAGAGCTAGGTTAAGGTCTTTTTGCCGGTTGAGGATAGGCTGATGACTGATGTAACAGTAGCTCCAGAAGTACACCTTGAACATGAGGCAATCACTGGACATAAAAGTTGAATGTGATTTTACTTCTATTTAGGAAGGAAAACCACCATCTAGTGTTGTAGTCGAGTCCATTACAAGTCCCTGCAAGCCCATCACAAGTCATCAAGTCTTCGGCCAAGTCACAAGCTATTCAAATGAACTGTGATGAAAGCATTCCTCTGTCATTGTTTACCCTGTTACTTGTGACTGGTCTTGTGAAAGGACTTGTGGCGAACCTGACTAAAACACTGCCACCATCCCACTTCTGCAGAGAATGACTGTATTTATAATCTGACCCTCCCACCTAGGAAGTATCTTTACTCCTATCTCACCGTCGTGTGCGGTAGGGGTGCTGGGTACCAGTTTGGGAATGGATCCGTAAGCGCCAAGTGTCGGCGGCACGATGGAAGGTCCACTCTCCTCTGAGCTTCTCAATTCTGCTTGACCTGACAGGTGGAGGCTGCCCAGAGTCTCTGAGGGGGTGCTGGGAGTGTGATCACTGCCATCTCGGGGAAAAGAACGGGAACTCCTTGAATATTGCTCTACAGAAAGAAAAACAAGGTCATCGTCGTCGACAACTGTTTCAATCTGCTTATTTTAATCACTGTCTTCTTTTCTATAAACCACATAACCGATTCTCCCCCCCCCTCCCCTAATAAAACTAGCTACATTCTCTGGGTGCCCGCACGTTGTGCCTACCAATCTTGTCAGGCGGTGTGTTAGCAATGACCGTGCCCCAGGCTTGCGGGGAGGGCTGGATGATGGTGATGGAAGCATCATCGGACAGACTGGTCTCGCTGGCAAGGACACGGTCACCTTGCTGACAGGAACTACCTGGGACCTTACGACGAGGCAGAGATTGACCTGAAGGAATTGAAACAAAGAAACAAGAGGTATGCATTTCTGAAAATAGCTGTCCCTGGGAATATACTCAAGAGATGGTTTGTAATAGCAAACTACAATGGAAGTTGAACTCTTTGTGGAATTGCAACAGCTAAAAGCTGAAATGAGATTTCTTCCTTGACATTGTTAAAGCTACTTGCAATGGCTGTTGTTCCAACTTTGCAGGAATTCAGCTAAAAGTATTCATGAATATCACCTCACCTCAGTAAAATTCCTTCAGGACAATTTAAGCCAGTCATCACTGGAAATCAAACTTAGTTTCACTAAAGGAAATATGAGCAATCCCTCATTTACAGTTCCTTTTGACTGTTTTTGCCAACGGGGGAAATGCTCTCTAACAAAATATCAGGCGGGGTATCACACTTTGCACTCTTTCTGAGTTGTCAACCATGTATGTGCACAAGTAAACTGGTAACGGACTACTACAGTCTGGAAATGCAACTTGTCAATACAAATTATCATCTTCTGTTGGAGACAAGAAGCACCTGTGAAATGAAATTAAACCAAATGAGCCAGGAAGAGAAACTAGCGCACAATGAACAAAGATGTACCCAGCCTCTCTGGAGGAGTGTCTTGGATTCCATATTTGTAAGCTTCCGGGGTGGGCGGAACCTCGGCGACGGACGTGTCTTCGGAGGCACTGGTCTCACTGGCTAGCACCCGGACTCTGTCAGCTAAACGGACATGCATTTGGAGAGATGAATTGGGGGATCATGCAGTGCTGACCACAGCTTAAATGGAAAACGGTACGAGGCTAGGAGGGAAGCCATACACTTACTGGTCTTGATCAACAGCGGTTCCAAAGCTGTCAACTACTGTTAAATATACATCGCAGGCGCCGAACAAAAAATAGACCTTTATGAGTCATCCTGCTGTTTCAAAAGCATTCCCATTACTCCATGCTGAACTCACCACAAAATATAAGACATGAATCACATTTCCTTGCAGTCAGCATGATTTTCAAACTGGCTTTCATTAACTTTAATTTTTCTCCAAGACATTAGACAAACTGGGCGACCAGAAAGCCTTATGAGCATTTATAGACAAGATGGCGTCCTGCAAAGGACCAGTTCTGGTAGTGTGTCTTTATGATTGCTTTTAAGCATGTAACATGAAATCCCCGATGTAAGCCGGTTGACAAACAGGGGTTCCAAGTGTGTTATGAAATGTTGTGGAGCATTCCGTTACCCCCAACTAAACCTGATCCTTGAAACACTTCTATGAGGTTTTGGAGGTATTTGAAGGATTCAGGAAGCTACAGTCCCTCCAATGTAACTTCATACGGCCTTAACTGAAGAGCGGTAGATTTTGCAGAATACAGAGGGGTCTCTAGTGAGAATGTCAGGAGACATCTGGTTAAAGATGATATAACAGCGTCACTTTTGCCAAGATATTTGATCAACATCAGCACAAAACCTACCTTTTCTTTCCTCCACATCAGAGAACAGATCTTGCTGGGAGGACTGAGGGTGGTCTGGATCAGTGTCCCCAATGCCTTCCTCTGGAAACGACTCGGCAAACTGAGAGGGGGCTTGGGGGATGGGCACACCAGGCTTGGATGGACGCTCCTTAATTTGTGTGAATCGTCTACAAAGAAGAATAAAACACTGATACCCTTGTACAGCATGATCTTGAAACACAATCTCATGTCACTTCTTG